GCGAACAATTGAGGATTTCGCTTCGATTCGATGCGGTTCACGCGAGAGATATTCTGCCCGATAAGCGGCGGCGGAGGCCTCCGCAAAATGTTGCGCATTGCGTCTTACAGCACGCAGTGCCAGCTATAGCTTCCGCCTTCCCGGGGTGCATGCCCACCCTCACCATCTCCCTTTCTCCTTGCAGTCTGCAGGTGGTCAACCCTATAGTCTATAGTTTGCCTTCCTTAGCTTCTTTAAAACTTGTCTCTTTCACTCGGTCTCGGTCTGGCAAATTGTATAGTTCAACTTCGTAACTGAAACTAATCCTTAATATCATACTATTATCATTTAGTAACAGCGAAGTGGAAAGCATAATAAAATTGCTATATTTTTAATAGTAAATGATATAATTATGAATAAATGATTAATAATAAATGAATAAAGATGATATAGATTATTTTTTCGAGCCCTTTTCTATCAGTTAAAACTCCTCCATGAAAACGAAAACACTGATATGTCCACCAGGGTCGTACTTAAAACCGAAGGAAGCTGATGAGTGTGAAGAAAATGATCTGGTTTAACGGTGAAAATTACGACCCTCGTGGAAAGTGTGCATATTTTTAGGGAGGAAGGAGGGTTCTGTTTCTCAAACAAATCCGGTATACATCCTCACTTATAGTAAAAGCAGATTATCCACAGCAGCAGCGGTGCAGTCCCGCCCTTGTGCGTAAATGCGTGACCTCTTTCTCTGTCGCTCCCCCGATGTTCGGCGTGACAGCTGCGGTGCTTAAAATAGGGGTTCAGTAGTTCAGCAACGTGCACCGTTGCTTTCATACGGCAACGATAACGCGAGCATGTGCACCGGGATAAATCGCCCAACGATTGTCGTACTGAATAAACCTGATTTTTCTTTTCAACGGGGTGGGCTGTCCCGCCACGCTCCCTGTGCCGTCTGCCCGAAACGATCATTGAACGAATCATTGGAAAATCTGTTTGATTCGTGCGGTCGGCCCTTGATTGCTGGCCATTCACCGACAAATAGGCAGTAATGATGTCGGTAGAAAAATTAGATATGAATATTGCTTCATGATTATACCTCCATTACTTTATTTTTGATAAAAGGAAATGAATCTCGAACGTCCAGAAAGAATCTTCCGTTACTTCAAGATAAGGAATATCTAAAGTAATGAATTGAATTTTTTAAATGGGAAAGAAACGGGAATTGATTCTATTCCATTTATTGATCGAATTCTGTCTGGGTACTGACCGACAAGAGAACGTTGGTATATCATTAACTATACATTTCCGTGTCGCCGACGCAAGGGTGGTGAACCTAGGAATCCTGTTTCAATGCTTCAGTACAAATTATTGATTTTACAGACGGTAGAGTTCTAGTATTCGAAAAAAGGGTGAAACTTCCAAATAATAAGTCAACCGAGAAAACGTGCAGTATGTTTCTTTCTAAAGATATTCCTTCGGAACTTTGGTAATTCTTAAAGCGTTGTAAAATTCTCCGCTCTCTTTTCCCGGTGTTTCATATCTATCTTAGATACCGTTCGCTGTGACGTGAACTTTTCAAATCGAATCGGAAATTCAAAGAAGGCCGCATAAAATGCAGGACGAACACCGCCGCCGCGATTCGTTGATTTATGCGGACCAGGCTGCGATATTCACTAGTTTCGGATTGCGTAATCCCGCTTTTCGCGTTCAAATTTCGCGAACTACGCTACTTCCATACGTTCACATCTGTGGGAACATTAAATCCGTCCAACGTGTATGAATATTCGCGAATGATTAATAAACGTACTAGTTTCTAACATCGAACGTCAAGTCTTGTTTCTAATGTTCTCAAGAAATTGAATTTAAAAAATGCTAACTACAATATGCATCAACTTTCTGCTAATTGAAATGCTTTCTAATTTTCAGAACACTTAATTAGCCCATATTTAGTTTCTATTAGCTGTTAGCACACCGTTTCCGTACTGACGACAGTGCGATGCTATGCGAACGATTATACCGCAGGGTCACGTACTGCAATTATGTGTTTCACAATGAAGAGAAAACGAATGAACAAAATGTGACGGAAAAATGGAATAATCTGAATTTCGACAATGATTGAATAAAAATTTTATATTTTAAACCGTGAGGATTTCTGGTTCGCTCTAATCGTGTATAGAATTAGCTCCGTGAAAGAGCAGCCCTCGTTGTGCTCCACTTATTAAAGCTCTTCGAGTATCGCTCTTTGAGCCGGTATAAGCGGCGCATATATGAAGCCGCTGATTCTTATTTAAAGCCCAGCCACATTAAAGTTCCGTCTTATTCCGGCGCGTCGAAGGAACCTGGTAATCAGCTCCGTTCATTTTTTTTTCTCCCTCGTGTCTCATTCTAAAAAAAATACTTTAAGTTCATCCGTTTGGGAGTTATTGGCAAAAAACGAAAATTTCGCGAAATCTGAAGGGGTACCCCTTGGAAAAATCTCGGAAAAATCGAAAAAAAATTTTCGCAGAATTTCGACAAATGCTTTGAACAAAAGTTGTACATGATACTATTACTTGTGAAGAAATCACTATAATTTTAGCTTCTTAATAGTAATAGGAATCTATAACAAATTCAACATGCCAGCATTGTTTAAGTATATGTATAGCCTGTACGTCCTTAACTTATACAAGAAATTATGTTATACATAAAATACTTGTGCAGTACTTTGGAGTCTGACAGTAGGTTCCATTAAATTATATTGAAATACCGCACGAAGAACTGCGGATATTTTTCATAATTTTTGACATTATATGAACACGACGGTTCTGCTATTTATTCGTGAATGTATTAATGCAGCCTGAGTCTTGTAACTCGTTAAGTATCGTAACACGTGGAACTTTCAGACATTGATGAATTTGAAACAGAATAAATGACTATACTTGAGACACAATTCGAGTGAGAGTGTAGGGCATGTTCCACAAATAAAGGTGTGTATCCAATGCTTGTTTTAGATAAATTAGATAGTTCGAACTTGATTAGAAAATGCACGTTTTATCTAGTAACAGCGTAAGCTGATTTTTCAATCGGATTATCTTTCATATTTACTGTACAAGAAAAGTAGAAACTAAAGCATGTAAAGATTGCAATTTTATACAAAAAGAGGCGTCGAAAAGTATTCCCATAAGAAAAAAAATGATGGTGTTACTAACTGGGCTTAGAAATTATGTGTTTTTCTAAACGAAAGTGTGCATACGTTGAGTCTATTCATTGAGTTCGAGCTAACGCTACTGATTACACGGTCGGGAAATAAGGAGAGACTGTCAACCAAGCGCGACCATCTAAATCGCTACTTCAAAAATAATAGTCGGTCATTTCTTTTCCTTTTTTCTTTCAACGAGACGAGCCTCCGAAGAACCGTGCTTAAGAAAATTGTTACCGAGGCGACCATCGATTATTGTTTCAACGATCGTTATAATTTATCGACTCTACGGTCCGTTCCTCGTTATTCTCTCACGCTGGATCTTCACTTAACGCCAGGATGGTTTCTTTCATCGCTTCAAACGCTTTCGAATAGAATGCATCGGACTTGTGATTCTCATCTCGATTGTAGACACGCGAATAATTCAAAAAGTAACTTTTAATCCATTTGCATCATTAGAGTTATTATTACATCAATTATTGCGATAAACATCCCATAAAACAATCTATAATAAATAATAATAAATAAACCAAGCATTATAAATATTATATGAAATATTGTATTATATTAATGTTTATTATATATTTATAATAATCACGTATGATGCGATCGAGTTGAGATTGTACAGAATTGACTCTCTTGTTTATCAGACGACTGAGGAACAGTCTTTTATGACTGTCGACAATTTTAGATTGATCCCAAGTAGCAGAAAAACAAACGATGAGTTACTGCGGACAAGTTTATTTTTCTACTGCAGCTCGTTAAAAATGTTATGCGATAAGACGGGCGTGTCTAAACATTGTAACGCGAAGTGAATAGATGATTTTCGTAAAGTGTTCCTCGTCGTTTGTACAGCTGAAGAGGAACAGATTCTCGTCGGAAACAATTTCATGGGTGCCTGGATTATATTGCGTCAACGTGTTAATGCACGAATCTGTTTTAAACGAAGATTAACTTTGTTAGTGGCCGCCCGTAATTTGCGACGCGTTAATGCCGTGCGCCGTTATTTCCCACCACTTCAGGTTTTAGAATCAAAGAGAAATTGTTAAGAGTGAACTATTCAAATGTCATAAGTGAATCCGAACAGCTTTCAGTGATTAGAATTACAGTAATTAATAAACAGTTTCTCACTTCCGCAATACTAAATTGCGGATTTTATGCATTTATATGAAATTTATGCACACAGTTTGTAAAAATATATAGAATATCGACTATAAAATAAATATCACATTGAAGGACTATTCGTACTTATTTCATTTTTTAAATTGGCCCTAAATCTTTAATTTGCATGAAAATCCGCAGCTTATTTATTACGGCAGCGTGCAATATTCTCAAATTCCATGCAACGGCGACTGAGTCATTGAATTTAGATGCCCGAGTAATTTACAGTCCACAAAAAGGATGAAGAGAAGGAGATAAAAGAATGCGAACAGCCGGATGCCGCACAGGCCGAGTCACATGAACGTAAACCGACACGTGCACCCTCTTCTTTCCTGACACGGTCCGATGATTTTTAAGACGAGGGCGAATGCGGCTTGGACTTTCTCATCGGCTAAACGACGGCGTATCCAACGCGAACCTCGATTCTCCGCTTTGTCTCGCCTCTAATTGTACTTGTACTTTCCTTAATCACCGTAAAACCGTCACACCCTTCTGCGTAGATTTAGATTTGGAGGAAATATCCTCCGAGTCGACATCTCTTATTTGTAATAATTAAAAATATTTTTTCTAATGAGAGAAGTTTTAATTACAAAAGAAATTGAAACGTAACGTTTATGTAAGGATGCAATTGAACTGGATGTAAGGATGCATATTGAAATTCGCCGTTTTATTCTTTTTGCAGAGATCCTTCAGGAACCGCGCTTCACCACTCAGCCTTCGAGCAGCGGCAATATTCTTAGTGAAAATCGAATAAAATTTCTGCAGTGTCAAGCCAGAGGTAAGTACGAAACGCTCGTAACCCGAATATTCGAGGAGTTCCAACCCGGAAGCGATCATTTCGCATTTATTAAGAACCTCTTCTCATCAATTTTCCATCGACATTATGCGCTCTCCTCGATGGATAGATTAAGAGAATCTTACTAGAAAATTTATTTCTTCCTATGTTACACGTTTGTACTAATTGCAATTGAAATTCAAATTTCCTTTTTGTCTCTGAAGCTTGAGTACTGGACTACGAATTTTTATGCAAAATGAGTTTTATCCGGTGCCAGTTTTGTCGGAACTACCAAATTTCGTGGCATATTTTTAGTATCCCACTGTTCTCATGAAATATTGAGTGACCAGCCGGATGAGACGGTGACCAGATGAAGTCTTACAGTTGCGGCCTGGTGCCGTAACACGATAGTATGACCCTGTACTAATAGTGTTAGGTCGCTGTATAACGCACGTATACGTCTCGGCTGTATGAGAAATGCCCACGGTATTCGCGAACAAAAGTACCACCTTGAACTGTCGTCATTCGTGACATTTAAACTTTAAGTAGATACACTTAACATCGAGATACGTTGTTAATTATGACAATGTAAAAAGTACTTAAGCTTGAGATAATTGTACAGTTACATCCATTGCAGCATTAAAAGAAAAAAGTACAGAATGCTAAATAATGTACATACATATAAAAAAAGCGACGCTACTCATTTTAAATTCGACAAGAAAATGTCGAGTCCTTGGCAAAGGATTTAGTATTTGGTGGAAGGATTTAGTCGGCAGAAGTTGATCCCGAGCTTAGGATTAATGGTGTACGTTCCTGTTCTGTTCGCAGGAAATCCTCCGCCGAAGTACAAGTGGTTTAAGGATGGGGTGCCCCTCAGTAACGAGCTTACCTCGGAGTATTATTTTCGAATACAGAGTATTCGGAGGGAGGACGCGGGGGTGTACCATTGTGTCGCCACGAACGATGTGGGATCCATATTTAGCGAGAGGATCTCATTCGCGGTAGCTTGTACGTATTTATTAAACACGATTAAATCCGAATTAGTAAAAGGAGTTTACTGTCCTAAAAGAAACAAATCGTTTGCCCATCGAAAGTTCTCAATTATAAACTGCCTTGAGAGAATTAAAAATTATATTGACTGTCTTAAGCGTTAAGAACAGTTCCCCTTAATTTTATTGCACAGTCAGGTCTAACTTTCGATCCGCGTAATCAAATGTTCCAGGACGCTCTGATTATCATTGCAACCAACGAGTATTTATTTCAGTGCGGTAATACAGGCCCGCGTTGAAAAATAATACCGTAATATTATCTCTGTTCAGATATGGGGATATTCGACGACCTCAGTGAAAGAATAGTGAGCGTGAAATCGGGTAGCGCAGCCGTTTTAACTTTGCCACCGATAGAAAGTCATCCCGCACCTGACGTTACATGGTTCACGTCCGATGGCTCAGTATTGTACGGTATTAAATACGCGACTGTTCGTCACATGTTGCTTATTCTGAACGCCTCCGAGACCGACGAAGGCCTCTACAGGTCGGTAATCAAAGCCATTCTACTTGGGCGAACACCAAAGTTTAACACGATACGAATGCATTGCACAGGGCCAGAGCTATTAACACGCAATTGGGCAAAGAAGAAAACAGCCCGTTTTTCAAGCTTCAGGTCACAGGCGATGCGAACACTGAAGTAGCGCCTACCATCATAGTGAAACCAGAGGATACGCAAATTATCAAGGATCAAGACATCACTTATATTTATTGTATAGCCAACGCCAGGTAATTTTTCGAAGATAAGAATTAATAAGAACTCGCTAACGATGAGGATGATTATTAAGATAAAAGTTGTACCCCAGATTTGAACAGACGTTTAAACTTGCACGGTAAATTTTAGGTCTCTTCACGAGCTGCGTACTTTGTGGACCAAAGACGGTATCCCCATTGAGAACTCGAGGATATCGTACAGTTTCAACGACTCCTGGAACAGAACTTTGGCGTTGATATCGGCAAACATAACTTACACCGGCGTTTACTCTTGTCACGTGGATTTAATAACCGGCGGATATCCTACAGTGAACGCGAGCGCGAAAATAGTCGTATATGGTAGGGCGGATATAAAAAATTAGAAGTGATTGAATGACGCTTGAGATATATTGTAATTGATCATACTTATGTCTTTTACGACGTATCCTCTTAGAAAAACCAACGTTCATAATGGAATTGAAACGGGAGACTCTTAGTGATTACGGATCAACTGTAACGTTACCGTGCGATGCCGTCGGTGTTCCTCCTCCTAATATAACTTGGTTCCGAAATGCGGAATCTGTAGATCATCTTCTTGGATCTAGGTATAAACTTTGTGAACAACACTAAATATTTACCTTAACATTAACAAATCTAGAGTACTTCATCCACTTTTATTGTTAGATACGCAATGGAGGAAGATGGGTCTTTGACGATTAAAAAATTAACCATGGCCGATTCGGGGATGTTCCAGTGCCTTGCTTCCAACGAAGCTGGCGAAGCATCCAGTTACACCTGGCTCAAAGCAAAAAGTTAGTAGGAACCTTGTTGAGGATGCATAATTATTATTCTTTCCATTTTTTTTTATTTGAATAGTTTACATGTGCTATTTGTTTATACTCATCATAAATAACGTTTTTTATGGGGCAGAAGGATTAGAAAGCAGAGTGAAAAAGAGAATTGTCCGCTGGGCAGCTGGCTACAATGTAGTCAGAGTTCGCCAATCTGATCGCCGTTTTAAGTTCTCTCAATATCCAGACAGTAAGATTTCATTGAACAAGTCGCCATCAAATATATTCACCTAATTTTATTGTTTTTGAGATTACCCCAAGGCACATGCTTAAAGAATGCATATCACGTCACGATGTTTGCTTTTATCAGCTGTATCCGTGTTTTCCCTGTTTTTTTTTTCTAGTAGTATAGTGAATACCATCTGCAAAGCACGATTGTCCCCTTGTGCTCCACACATACACTTTGTGTTATCTTTCATAAAGAATCCTAGCAAGTATCCAACAAATTTGTGTCAATATTTTAATACTTTCAATATGAGTGAAAGGAAAAAGTCTTGGTAGTAACACGATAAGTTATAATAGGTAACACTTTAGGAAAAAAAGTGTAAGTCGCTAAGCGTTAGTTAGTTCGATAGATATGATTTAAATGTTAGTGGAAATAATTTTCAGTAATATACTTAGTTTGTTATTATCAGTCAGGTATGGGTAATTCAGCGTTTTCCACTTCATATAATGCTACTCTACCGCTGAGGTATTTTTCATTCTGTAATTTATTTATTATTAATTACAATATATGATGGAAGACATTGAAATGGGAAATTTATTTTTTGTGTTCGATTGTCTCTGCCTTTTTAGCGTGCATGTGTGATTTTTTCTCATAGCTTACAAGCGAGGTATTAATATGTTTAATTGTTTTCAGCATCTGGGCCAATCATGGAGAACGGTCCACAAAATTTAACTATATTAGATGGAAAAGATGCGACTTTAACATGCAGTGCGGTAGCAGCTCCAATACCAAATACCACGTGGATATACAATGGTAAACAATTGAACGTCCATCTTCAATTTGAGATAATGTAATAGTTGAATCAATTTGATTATAATTAATCGATAGATACGACTCCTGTCGAAATTGCTGGAAGAGTACAGGTATTAGATAACGGTGATCTTTTAATTGCCGCTGTGAAACCAAACGATGCCGGAAAATACACTTGCATTCGGGCTAACGAGGCTGGTTCCGTGAATGGATCCGCCTATCTCACAGTATTAGGTATAATATAACTTGTTTGAAGATATTTAAGTGGGAAAAGACTGATTTTTATAACGAAAAATTCAACTGTTCCAGTTCGTACACAGATCGTTCAACCACCTGTTGACACATCCGTTCTTCTCGGCTACACCGCGGAATTACAGTGCAAGGTTTCCAACGATCCAAGCGTTTTATACGATATAGCCTGGTTTCACAATTCACAGTACGTATTGTTTTATAAACGACGCAACAAATCCACTATCATGTACTCATTATTTCGACAGAGTAATAAATACGCAAGCGAGTCAGAGGGTGAAGATGCGACATGACGGTACGTTAGAAATAGCAGCGGTCAGAGCCTCGGATGTAGGCGAATACATGTGTTCCGTGGTTTCTCCCGGTGGCAACGAGACTCGGTCAGCACGTCTTAGTGTAATCGAACTACCGTTCGCACCAATAAACGTAGTGGCCAACCGAATGGAAAGGATTTCTCCGCGTACTATAAACGTTAGTTGGGTCCCAGGTTTTGACGGGAACAGTCCGACGAAGAAATTTATAGTCCAGAGGCGGGAGGTGTCTGATCTTGGACCGATCCCTGATTCTTCGTTGAATTGGATTATCGAATGTAATAACGTTACGGCTGATAGTCGGTGGGTGGTACTTAACAATTTGAAAGCAGCAGCCGCGTATCAGTTCCGAGTGACCGCGGAAAACAGCGTCGGGGAAGGGCCTCCGTCGGATCCTAGCAACGTAGTAGTCCTACCTCAAGAACCTCCGAGCGGGCCACCGGTAGGATTCGTTGGCTCCGCTCGCTCTTCCTCAGAGATAATCACGCAGTGGCAACTCCCATTGGAAGAATATCGGAATGGGCATATTTTAGGATACATATTAAGGTATAGACTGTATGGTTATAACGACAATCCTTGGACAATACAGAACATCACTAACGAAGCACAAAGGAACTATCTGATCACCGATCTGATCACGTGGAAAGATTATATCGTGCAAATAGCAGCGTACAACGATAAAGGCGTGGGAGTGTTCACAGAGGGCTTGAAGATTAAGACGAAGGAAGGTGTGCCGGAAGCTCCGCCGACTAATATAAAAGCAAAGGCTATCAATTCAACGGCTATAAAAGTATGGTGGAAACCACCGAACCCGCAGAAAATTAATGGGATAAATCAGGGTTACAAATTGCAAGCCTGGATCGGTAATAATTTCACCGAGGCAAATGAGTACAAGTCAATGACTGTACCGCCTAGTTTATTCGATCCACTCGCGGAACAAAGTGCCATTATGATCGGCCTAAAGAAATACGCCATGTACAATATAACTGTGTTATGCTTCACGGATCCGGGTGACGGTGAACGAAGTACTCCCGTCCAAGTTCGTACACGAGAAGACGTGCCCGAGGAAGTAGAGAATCTACAATTCGAAGACATAAGCGATCGCGCGCTCACTGTTAAATGGAGTCCTCCGCGTGAGGCGAACGGGATACTAAAGCTTTACCAATTGAAGTATATGATCAAAGATGTACCGGACTCTCTACGAGTAGAGAACTTCACGTCGGACGTCCTCTCGGCGAAAATTGAGCACTTGCAAGCAATGACGCATTATAAGTTCGAAGTTATCGCTTGGACTTCGGTGGGTCCCGGGAAATCCAAAATAGCCGTAATTCAATCGGGTGTCGAGCCTGTTCTCCCAGAACCGCCTACCAAATTAGCGCTGTCCAATATAGACGCGTTTTCTGTCGTTCTCCAATTCACGCCAGGATTCGACGGTAATTCGTCGATAACGAAGTGGACAGTGCAGGCGCAAACCACTCGGAATACTACTTGGTACACCATATACGAAGTCTCGGATCCCGATGCCAGTACGATTACCGTGATCGGCCTAATTCCATTTATGCAGTACAAACTAAGATTAATAGCCAATAACGTCGTCGGTGCTTCTCAACCCTCCGAGCCGACGAAGGAGTTCCAGACGATCCAAGCACCACCTTCGCATCCTCCCAGAAACGTTACTGTCCGCGCGATGAGCGCGACGGAATTACGCGTTCGATGGATACCATTACAACAAATTGAATGGTACGGAAATCCAAGGGGATACAACGTTACCTATACCGAAGTTCGGACCAATACGTCGAAAAGTATAACTATAGACGATCACACAGCGAATTCGTATATTTTAGAAAATATGGAGGAGTACGCTCTTTACGAGATCGTAATGCAAGCGTTGAACGATGTTGGATCGTCTGGGTTAAGTCCCAAGGCTGTGGAAAGAACTCGCGAGTCGGTTCCTTCTATGGGACCCATTAACGTGGAAGCGAACGCAACGTCTTCCACGACGATATTAGTCAAGTGGGGCGATGTTCCCATAGAGCACCAAAACGGACAAATAGAGGGGTTCAAGGTCTATTACGGTGCAAATGCTAGATCAGCATTCCAGTACAAAAACATTCCTAGTAATACGACGTTTACAACGACATTAACAGAACTACGAAAGTTCGTCCAATATCATGTACAAGTTTTAGCGTATACAAGGCTAGGCGATGGTACTTTGAGCACTCCTCCAGTCAGGATACAAACGTTTGAGGACACTCCCGGTCCTCCGTCGAACGTATCGTTTCCTGATGTCAGCTTCACCACTGCCCGTATCATTTGGGACACTCCAGAAGATCCAAACGGGGAGATCCTGGCCTATAAAGTCATGTTCCATCTAAACAACAGTTTGGATCATCAATTTTCAAAGGAGTTTCCTGCATCTGACAGAACGTTTCGTGCAACCGGACTGGAGCCGGAAAAATATTACATGTTCTCGGTGACGGCGCAAACGAGGCTGGGTTGGGGTAAGACGGCGTACGCTTTAGTTTTCACTACGAATAACAGGGAACGCCCTCAGGCGCCGTCGATGCCACAAATCAGTAGATCGCAAGTACAAAGTAGGCAGATAACGTTTACGTGGACTCCCGGTCGCGACGGGTTCGCCCCGTTGAGGTATTACACGGTGCAACAATCGGAGAATTCAGGACCGTTCCAAACTATTCCCGAAAGAGTGGAACCAACTTTAACATCTTACACGGCAAACAATTTGAAACCCTTCACGTTCTATCAATTTCGAATACAAGCGACCAACGATATAGGCCCCTCGACGTGGAGCACGGAATCTGCTCAAGTTCAAACACTGCCAGCGGCACCTTCCCGAGGAGTTACTGGATTAAAAGTGGTTCCGATAACGACGTCCAGTATAGAAGTTCACTGGAACTCCATCGATGAAATACATTGGAGTGGGGATCACCAAACCGGCGGTTATCGCGTCGTTTATCAACCAGTTTCCGATTTTCCGAGTGCTATTCAGGATACGCCGAAAGAAGAAGTCTTGGGAATAAAGGCCACGAAAATAGTTTTAAGCGATTTGACCGAGGACAGGTACTACGAGGTGATCGTGCTACCCTTCAATTCCGAAGGAGAAGGTCCGCCGAGTCCTCCAGTGACTGTCTACGTAGGAGAGGCTGTCCCTATCGGAGAGCCGCAACATTTGAAAGCAGAACCAATTTCTTCCACAGAAGTACATTTACGTTGGAAGCCACCTCAAGCCAATACGCAAAATGGAGACTTATTAGGATATAAAGTAAATCATTATTCTCACTCCTCATCGAGTTAATCACTTCCCTCTAATCTTTCTTTTCTTATTTTAGATTTTTTATTTAGTTACGGATTCTCCTCAAGAATTGGAGATCAAACAGGAGGAAGAAATAGAAGTTGTTCCCGCATCGTACCTAACACATAGCTTAGTGTTTTTAGATAAATACACTGAATACCGTATACAAGTACTGGCTTTCAATCCAGCCGGTGATGGTCCCCGAACTCCACCCATCACCGTCAGGACTAAACAAGTAAATTGAGAATGATCTTTGGTCTTAATGCGTAAACAACCATTGTTCGTACAAATATAATTCAATTTTTCTCATGCAGGACCTACCAGGACCACCACATAATCTCCAATTCTCAGAAATAACAATGACTAGCCTTCGCGTTTCCTGGGAAGCGCCGAAGCTACGAAACGGTGAAGTAGTCGGTTACATAGTTACATATGAGACGGCAGAACAAAATGATCGTACGTTTCTAAATTTAGTGATCACTAACACTTAGTGACGTATAATTGCTTATGACAATATTTTGTACGTAGGTTTTAGCAAACAAGTTAAACAGAAGGTAACAGAAACGAGCTTGCTGATACAGCCTTTAGAAGAGGAAGAAACGTACACGTTTATGGTCCGAGCGCAGACTATCGACTTTGGTCCACCCATTTCCGGGAACGTAACAACGGGCCCGCAAGAAGGCTCGCCGATGGCACCTAGTAATCTTGCTGTCACTAAAACTGTGTCCAGTGTTGAATTACAATGGACCAACGGCGCTTCCGGAAAGGGACCCATTCTGGGATATTATATCGAAACACGCCGAAAAGGTAAATAATATTTCAATCTGTAAGAAATCCCGACTGGTAAAAAAACATAATGAGACAATAGTGAAATGTTTCATTATTTCGGTTCTATCTATTGTTAGTTAAAAGTATAGAACAGCAATTACTTGGGATACTAATACTGCCTTTTTTATAATCATATAGCGATGGAAGAGTGGCAGCATTGTAAGTGTCAATGCACGTAAATATATTGAGAATCGATTATTACGTTAGATCTCAAACTATTGAATATGATTTCGTTAGTGTTAATATAATACCATGGCTTTCCTGTTTGTAATTAATCTGTGATCATATTTGTTTAGTGGTATTCGTACTTGATTGCATGGTGTCATAGCATGACATTTCTTCATGAATTCAATTAGAAGTTCATCAAATCATCTTAACTCTTGAATGCTGCTATAATTTACTTCACGAATAAACGAATAGCCGAAGAGTTTGATGACTTGTTAGATGACGGTGTACAAACCTACAGTTTTTACGCCCCCACGTTTAATGTTTCCCCGAAAACATGTAACATAGTATAAAATTTCGCAAGTTTTCAATTATTAACACAGAGAAAAAAGCAAGAAAATAACAATTTTCTCTATGATAATATTAAATGCTGAGAAAACCTGCGCAAGTTACCACCGGTTTACATTTGCGATCATTACCTTCAAACGAAATATAAATAGTTATTTCTATTATTTGTAATTGTAGATGACAGTCGTTGGCAGACGATAGTACGTAGTAGCAACGGACCATTGACGGAATATTCAGTATCGTATCAAAATTTACTTCCATCCACGTCGTATTTGTTCAGAGTAATATCGTACAATCGTTACGGGATTAGTTATCCAGCCTACTCTACGGAAACGGTGAATAGCATTACCGTATTCTTACTTCCCTAACATTTATACACGTGTTATATTAACAATTTTGTGTCGTTCTCCAGATTTTAACTCCCTCGAAGCTCTACCTCGAATACGCGTATTTACAACACAAACCATTCTACAGACAAACGTGGTTCATGGTCACCTTAGCTGCAACATCAATTATAATTATTATAATGGTCATAGCAGTGCTATGCGTGAAAAGTAAAAGTTATAAGTATAAACGTAAGTTTCCATGAAGTATACAAATTTTGGATTCATATGGTACTGAATAATAGTGTTAATAATATAACAATCATTTTAGAAGAAGCGCAAAAGACGCTCGAAGAATCTATGGCGATGGATACGGACGACAGACAGGAGTCTGATTTAGAGCTTTATAGATCTAGACAAGGAGGTGGCGGCGGTATGAGTATGGCTAGCGGTTGCGGCACATTGGGTAAGAGGAACACGTTGGCCAGAAAGTCTATGCATCCTCCACCACCTACGATGTTAGGTAAATCCCCTCCGAGACCATCGCCAGCCTCGGTTGCCTACCACAGCGACGAGGAGAGCCTCAAGGGGTACGATGAGAACCCTGATGATAGTAGCGTAACGGAGAAACCTTCTGAAATCAGTTCTACAGATTCACAGGTAACATCTCCTTTCTAAAAACGCGCGGAACACACGTATCAGGCTCTGAGTTTATTATCACTATTATGTCCTATTACAGGGATCTGAGAGCGAGAACGAAAGTGTACAATCGGACCCACATTCCTTCGTAAATCATTACGCTAATGTCAATGATTCCTTAAGACAGTCGTGGAAGCGGCAGAAACCGGTTAGAAACTATTCGTCGTACACCGATTCTGAACCTGAAGGTAGTGCTGTTGTCAGTTTAAACGGTGGACAAATTATTATGAACAATATGGCAAGGTCGAGAGCGCCGTTGCCTGGTTTCTCGTCGTTCGTATAAAATTTCGGTCGTAATAATCGATTAAAGCTTTTATTAAGTAGGTAGGGTGCCGAATTAAGCATAACGACTATTTTAAGCGTTAAGCTATCGAGATAAATAAAATTGTCACACGTTGAGTTAAAGAATTGGATTTTTGAAACATGATACACGTGCGGGACTAGACTGGTTGTTAAAAGTTTCGATCGTTTTCATAAAGTAGAGTACTTAGAATTTGAATAGCTCAGCATTGAAATCGAAGTACACAGAGTTAAAGACTTAAAACGTTGAAACACGGAGATTCACGTGGTGTTTCATGAACGCCGGTACTTCGTATAGTAATTTTTAATATGCTTCTGGCACCATCATATTGTGATATATTGAAATACATATTATTTATAATTTTAGATAAGGTCGTAATTTGTATAATGAATATTTTTTACTTTTATTAAGTAAAGTTCTTCAGAACGAAAATATCACATGGATCTCGAGTAATGGTGATGCTTGTCCATTTTTTGTAATGTTAAGAGGAACACGTTGTGGAGAGACGTCTCTTGACTGTAACGTGCTTAAGTAATGCAATAGGAAAATATTTGTTGCATAATGACCGAGTAACGAAAACTGCCAGAAACATATAAATGATAAACTTAAAGAACGATATTTTAATACTATATTAATATGATAAAAGGACAATTCAATTGCAATCTCTTTTTAACATTATTTACAAGTTCTTCAACTCGAATGATCAAATTCTTTTGATACCTCCAAGAATTGAAGTCTCTGTTATAAACGAATATTATCTGTCATAAAGCATCGATTTAGATGTTAAAATAATTCATAATCAGGCCTATCATATCAATAAGGAACAACTTACACGAGTCTGATAACATTACTGTACTGAATAAATACTAGACCACACATAAATGGATGATGTGACTGCGCGCATTTCTATTTCTAAGCGATTTTGTTTTTAATATCATTCTATGTATAATGTACATAAAACTTTTAGTATAAATTACGGAATATAGCGAATATTGATACGACACGTGTAAATTTAGTGCACAACTTAGACGATTTAGATTAAATTTTATGCCGAATAATCATTAAATAATACATATTTATAATCCTCATCGTATAGACACTTATCGGTTATCTTCATCTTCCTTCGTTTTTTAAATTATAGAATGAAAGCAGTAACAATCAGGATACATTTGCATAAAAGATATATATGCGACATATGTAATTCTCAACAAGATATCATTACTTCAGTTCTAATACTTGATGTATTACATTTACAGTATTGTAAAATGATATCGTACGCAGAATTTATTCAGTTTACGGCAGTAATTTTTTAGCGTAATATATTTATCAAACGAAATTATTATATGGTAGTGGAAAGAAATACTATTTCATGTAATATGAAAGACGTTTCGACTGATATTAACGCGTAAAGTGTTTTTATCAGCTTGATAATAAATTTTATAATTAAAGAATGTAGAATCGATATTAATAATACGTTGAGACATCATAGAGAATGTAAAATAAATTTTTAAGTATATTCTTCGACAATATACGCTAAAATTTTAGAAATCTATTATCGAAAACATAAGTTGTAATAAAAATTCTATTACATTTGATAGAACAATTATCTTGGTTCATAAAATGTACTTGAACCTCCGATTTTCTAGTTAATTTACATTGATCATAGCCATAACAACTACCTAAAAGACATACTCGATATGTAATATGTGTCATAAACTTAATGACAAGTTATATGGCATGAACGATTTGATTTTACCGATCAATTTTTCATTTGTATTATAAAATATGTTTACTGGCATTAGAAAACTTGCTTCCTAGTTTTTATTGACTATATAGCATTAATTTTACTAGCTCATTGTCAGTCATTGCGGTTTTGTGTCATAAGCATTTTTTCTTCTGTAAAATGGAAATATGATAATTTCTACAACACTGCCAATAAGTATTAGTTCGAGGATAAACTTTTTTTACCTGCCTTTCTACTATTATATTTAATAAGAAATTTAAGGTAACACTGAAATTATACATCACTTGTACAAGGTATTTCAAGTACACATGTTAATTTTGTAATAAAATTTATATAATTTTATTGGCACTGTTTTCTCAAGAATCTTTCAATCAACCGAGATTTGGAATCTTTTTTGAAATAATAAAACAAATAAATAATAGCTAAGCGTTTTAATGGAAGAGTTTTATTTACGTAAAAAGAGTCTCACATGTTTGAAACCACTTTTTCAGTTTTGGCGGACACTGTTCTGAAAAAACTTGTTTAACTGTACACCATACAGCAATATCTACTATATTAGGACTCCTTCCATTTGACCAATTTAAATCTAACTTATCAGCTATTGTTGACACTATTTCGTATTTTTGTTTCGACGATTCTTCATAATATAAAGAGTAACATAAATCTAACATTAAATCTATTGTATTCAAATCGTCTATGCAATTAGAATTTTCATAATCGTGTGAACTTATTAACCTTGTTAAATACCTTAGAAAATTCGTTTCACCAGTTACATGATAACCACGAAGGCCAGATTGGATTTCCAGATCTTTAACTGAAAATTAAGTCCTTTATAGATATACACTTATTCCTTATTTTTAAGTATATTCTTCGACAATATACGCTAAAATTTTAGAAATCTATTATCGAAAACATAAGTTGTAATAAAAATTCTATTACATTTGATAGAACAATTATCTTGGTTCATAAAATGTACTTGAACCTCCGATTTTCTAGTTAATTTACATTGATCATAGCCATAACAACTACCTAAAAGACATACTCGATATGTAATATGTGTCATAAACTTAATGACAAGTTATATGGCATGAACGATTTGATTTTACCGATCAATTTTTCATTTGTATTATAAAATATGTTTACTGGCATTAGAAAACTTGCTTCCTAGTTTTTATTGACTATATAGCATTAATTTTACTAGCTCATTGTCAGTCATTGCGGTTTTGTGTCATAAGCATTTTTTCTTCTGTAAAATGGAAATATGATAATTTCTACAACACTGCCAATAAGTATTAGTTCGAGGATAAACTTTTTTTACCTGCCTTTCTACTATTATATTTAATAAGAAATTTAAGGTAACACTGAAATTATACATCACTTGTACAAGGTATTTCAAGTACACATGTTAATTTTGTAATAAAATTTATATAATTTTATTGGCACTGTTTTCTCAAGAATCTTTCAATCAACCGAGATTTGGAATCTTTTTTGAAATAATAAAACAAATAAATAATAGCTAAGCGTTTTAATGGAAGAGTTTTATTTACGTAAAAAGAGTCTCACATGTTTGAAACCACTTTTTCAGTTTTGGCGGACACTGTTCTGAAAAAACTTGTTTAACTGTACACCATACAGCAATATCTACTATATTAGGACTCCTTCCATTTGACCAATTTAAATCTAACTTATCAGCTATTGTTGACACTATTTCGTATTTTTGTTTCGACGATTCTTCATAATATAAAGAGTAACATAAATCTAACATTAAATCTATTGTATTCAAATCGTCTATGCAATTAGAATTTTCATAATCGTGTGAACTTATTAACCTTGTTAAATACCTTAGAAAATTCGTTTCACCAGTTACATGATAACCACGAAGGCCAGATTGGATTTCCAGATCTTTAACTGAAAATTAAGTCCTTTATAGATATACACTTATTCCTAAGTAAATATATCATTTTACAATATATAATTTACCATCTTTCCAGATCAGTGATACATTAATAACATTATTCCTGGAAGCATCTTTGGCCGTCTGATAACAAACAGGTCCTTCTTCACTAACACTAGAGTGGATATATGTCTGTACATTAATTTGAGAGTCCCTCCATACTCTCTGTAATGCACGTACTGAATAAGGTGGTCTTTTAGGATTCACATTAATAATAAGATTCACATTAACTGGATCCTAGCAAAATAAAAATAGACAGGATAATTTCATGTATATCTTCCTTAACCACATTAAATTTTATAATATATATAAATTTTAACCATTAGTGTACCTGTTTCTTAGGAACCTTGTCACACGATACAACTGGTTTTGTTTGATTTAAAAAGTTAGAAAGTGTTAAAACTTGTTGCTTGAGCTCTGCAAGTTGCGTCAATATCTTCTCTTGTCTTGTTTCTAATGCATTATACTCTGGCAGTGGATTCTGTAATAAGAAATTTTGGTAATCAAAATATAATACCATTTAATGAGCTACAAATATAGAGAAAAAAATCAGAATTATTTCATGCCAATATATTGAAGGTATTCGTTGAAATATAAATATTATTGGGTAAAATGATAAGAGTCTCAAATAACAGGATCAAACAAATCTTTACTTTCATGTAAAACATATTTCAGTGGCATCATGCTATTATAGTTAATCATTAAGCATGATCCATATACTATACTTAATAGAAAAATGTTTAAAGGAATAATTTTTGTTTATAAAAGCACTTCTAACTTTCATTTAGGACAGAAAATATGACAGGCAACATGAAATGGACATGTTACTATTTTCAACCAACAAGAAAATTTATAGAAACACAAGACCATATATTACAGAGTTGACAGTTTCATAAGAACCATTGTTGATTAATACCAATAAAACAGTTACAGGGTACATACATCATTTTCACTGGGTTAGGTTTTACGTGTGTTTGGTTATACAATTTGTACTTTGTAGCTACTGTGAGTGCAGTTCTAATTTAGTAAGCTTGCCCTTCTTCTATAATAATTATCGCCGCGTACTCGTTTATCCTTCGAGCTTCGTAAATTTTTCACGGAACGTAGCCGCGGGTAATGTCCTGTTAGTTGAAAAATTGGAGGGGCACAAGCATCGATCAAGCCTGTAGAACCATATTCCCGGTCGATCGTGATTAGTGCTTGTGGAAATTTTGGGAGGAGTCATGCACAAGTTCGAGATTGAAGAAACGCTTCTTGCAACCATGACTGACAAATGCGTGAGTAAAAAAACCGACAGTTCTCGTTATCTCGAAACGTTTTCTCTCTAAAGCGCGGACGGAATAACAAAAATGATGAAAAACCTTTAAAAAGCTGATAACCTGCTCAGTGATATCGGGTGCGATCTTGTCCTCGACTTCCGTATGGTTCCCTGTTGATCGTTCTTCATGAATATTTCGCATTTCGTACATTGTTTTCCTACCACGCAACGTTTGCGGTAGAGAAACGATCGGTTTCAGTTGATACATCGTCATTTCGTTACGCATCCCGTTCGTTATTACGCGATTAAATCGTAAAAAAAATCGTCAACCCGTATTCACATTCAATCGTCGCACTCTCGTTCGTCTTTCGTATTTCTCGATTTTCGTTAGACGGCCATTTTTCTTCGATCCCCCTTTCCCTTTCAGATCAGTGCTTGCATATCGGCGCTTGTGTTGTAGCGTGTGCTTTGCCTTCTTGCCGCCGTAACATCCGTTTCAAAGATGGCGCCATAATTTTTGGCGAAAATCACAGCATTATTACATCTTACATCAAATTTAATAATATAAAATTTAGTTTTCATACTTGTCTGATGGCCTTACAAGAATTTTCTTTCAATTACATATACTTGACGTACAGATTACAAACGGGCCCTAGTCCACCAAACAAAGATCATTTATGAAATTACGATATTATAAAAGTGAGTACATGTTAAAATGATTAGTGTATTGCTGATACATTATTATCGTAAATTTTTATTCCGTGTTTTATTATTTATTCAAACGTTTAAGTATTATTTGATTATGTATTCGCGTAAATTATTTGATTAGCAACTTCGGTTAACTCTGTCCACGCTTCGTCTACAGCAGAAGCGACACAGTTTTTACGAAATTCCTGTTTCAATGGAAAAGCATATTTTACACATGAAATACATAAAAAGATAATCTGAATAATAATATTCTACAATTAAGAGGAAAAAGGAACTGTAACAAGATTTCTATTTAAATTTGACAGTGAATTTGATTTTCATTTAAAAAGATGTCGCATTCGTCGCTTACCTCTTTTGCGCTAAACGAAGTTTGTTGTTAATTAAATTGTGTTAGAAATATGTTAAAAAATTTTCTTTATATTAATAAGATTGATTTTTAATTAATATGATAGTACGTGTTAAAAAAATGTATACCGATCAACAACACACACAAATTAAAATTAAAGTAGTGTCCTCTGTTGAAGCTTCCTTGAAACTAGGGTTAGAGTTCTCTCTTGCGGGTAACAGCGAATCCAGTTGACTGTGTCAGCAAATTAATAGCCTAATTTCATCGAAGTAAAAGGTGTGACGAATTAAAATAGGAATAATTGTGCGAAATAGAAGCAACGAAGAAAGTGAGGAAAAAAAAACATTTGTCGGAAGTGTGGTTAGAATCGCGTTCTTGTAACGGCGCATGTCGCCACCTATTGTTGATCTGACAGGATCTTGTGTAGTTACGGTGAAAGCTATTGGATCTTCCGTACGTTTCGTGAGAAACTGAAAAGCGGTCAATCGGTTTCTGGATTCTATGAATCTTATCGAAATTCAGTCGAGAGGGTCGTGTCGAGCCAGAGATTGTTCTGGATACGAAAAAGGGAAATTTCATCAGAAATTTCGTCTACTTTTGGAGTAGATGCGTTCGAGGCCAGACATGGCGGCGATTCGATGAACCAATTACAGCAGCGCTCTCTTAGACGATCAGATATTGTAAATTCCCCTTATATTCGCGTCAGTGAATGATTCTGTACTTATTTTGATCGTTATTGGTAATAAACCGTGCACTTATCATTACGGGAAAGTGATATCCGTACGCCGACGCGGAGGTAGAAGCCACGCAAGATCGTACCGAGACGTTAATCATGAAGGAATTGTGTTTGGTCACGTGACCGTAGCCGAAAAATGGCGCAAAGATCAGAGTACAAACATGGGTTCCATTTCATTGCTACGGTGTCATTTGTATTTGTTTACAAGCGCGCGTTACCACAAACCACGTGTTAAGTAAGTGCCATTTCGTTGACAGTGTGTGACAGACAATGACGGGGAGAGGGACGAAGAGACGGGGCCGACCCCCGAAGTCGGTGGTCATGGAAAGGCCCAAAAAGTTTCAGTACCATCTTATGAAGAAGCCGAAATACTTACAAAACAAGGGTTCAGAAACGACAGGCTCACAGCCGAGTACGCCGACACCCTCGAGACCTTCATCGCCGGTCGAAAGCGAGGACAGCAGAAGGAGCACACGAACTCGAAAATCTCGTGGAGCCAGAGACAGGCATTCACGCAAAGGTGGTCATTCAGGTGCAGCATATCAACGCCGAGGTTACAATCCAAATGTGGACTATCACGACTCTGAGTATCATTATGGCTCGGACTTTGGTGACGAGTCCAGTGAAAAAAGTGAAGTTGAAGAGGATATTCTACAAAGCGACGTGGAATCATCTGAAAGTATAGAGGAACCTGATCCCTCCAGTGACAGTGACTTTTCTCTTTCAAGTTATAGTAATACCAGTGGGACACCCCGCAAAACATTGCTAAGCCAACAAAGACCGCCGAGTCCAGAACCGTTGTGGCTTCAAAACAGGGAACTGCCACCATTGAATTTACCTAAATCGTCGGATGACCTACTAGCACCTAGAGAATTTGTAATGCCATCTTTGTGTATTTACGAAGTATTGAGACATTTCCGTACTTTAGTACGGCTCTCAGCCTTCAGATTTGAAGACTTCTGTGCAGCTTTGATATGCGAGGATCAAACCAACCTGTTAGCTGAGATACACATTATGCTTATCAAAGCTCTTCTCAGAGAAGAAGATTCTCAGCAGACACACTTTGGTCCTCTTGATCAAAAAGACTCTGTGAACGTTAGTTTATATTTTGTGGATTCTATGACTTGGCCAGAAGCTTTACGTTCTTATGTAGAAAGTGATAAGTCATTTGATCAAAATATTTTACATATTTTGTCCAATTGTGAATATCCTTTTACCTCTATCGAAGATAGACTTAAGGTGCTACAATTTTTGACAGATCAGTTTTTAATTACAAATCCAGTAAGGGAAGATCTGCTACATGAAGGTACAACAAATGGTATTTCGTTTTGTTTCATTTCTTATGTTTCTTTGTATACAGCATTCCTAGATGTATCTAGAATTATTTAATCAGCAGGAAAAATTTGAATGTCCATGCTGAGAAATGCTGATAATTTTTTTAGTCAATTTTATATAAATATTTATAATAGTTGAAAAAGTTTGTTTAAATTATTGTTAAAGTTTTATGCAAAAACACTAAATAATCGTGTTTCTAAGTCATTTTTGTAAAGATTTATTAATACATTGGTAACTTGTTAGTATTTTAGTAAATTTTATGGAAAATATCATTCTGTAGGAAATATGCTCTACGATGATCACTGTAGAGTGTGTCATCGTCTGGGAGACTTACTGTGCTGTGAAACCTGTCCTGCAGTGTTTCACTTAGAATGTGTTGAACCTCCTTTGGTTGATGTTCCTACCGAAGACTGGCAATGTAGTACATGCAAAGCTCACAAAGTGACTGGAGTTGCCGATTGTATACCTGATGTGGAGAAAAATGGTTCACTATGTCGTCAAGAACATCTAGGATTTGATAGACATGGTAGAAAGTATTGGTTTCTTACGAGAAGAGTTTTTGTGTAAGTTCACGTTCATAAAGTAAAACATGTTGAACTTTACCCTTGAAAAAAATTTCTGAATAAGCAAGAGAAATTGTTTATTTCAGTGAAAGTGAGAATGGCGAAGTTTGGTATTACAGCACACCCTTACAACTAGAGGAGTTAATGCGTTGTTTAGATCGCAATGAAATGGAAGTAGCACTTTATAGAGAATTATCAGATTACAAAGATGAAATTATAAGACAAATGGAGCTTACAGAACAGATTACTAACCAGTACAAGGGTAACAAAAAATCGTATTTGGAAGTGGAAAACAGTAAGTCCAATTAAGTTGTTCATAATGTTATTTCTATTCTCTTTTTAAACAATACCAGTTTTACTTAATATTTTGTATTTTGTACAAAAAGGTCTGATACAAAAGTTGCAAAAAGAACGACAAGATAAACAAGAAAAGGAGGAAGAAGAAAAGAAGGAGAAACAAAGGCAAGAAGCTGAAGAGATGGTAAGAAGAATACATGAAGGTACAGATTCTCTTGAAGAACGACTAGCAGCCGTCACTGGACCAGAAGAAGGGAAGTCATCTGAAGAGTTAAATGCTAAGGAAAGTGCTCAGAAAACGGAAAATATGGAAGTAGATAGTGTTGGTAATACTTTAACAGACGGAGTAAGTAAAGATGCAAAAGCGAGTACATCGTCATCGTCCGAAGAAATTGAAGAAGACATATTAGAGGAAGAAGACGGTATTTCAAAGATTGGTAAAGATGGTACGTTCACGTGACTCTGTTCAAACTGTTTTATTAGTAGTATTTAATAATTTAACAAATCCTTTTGTCTCTATAGGGAAAAAGCATACTATTGTGACTAGATCAAAAACAGGGTCTTTACAGCCTAGAACGTTTAATATGGATGACATAAAGAAACGCAACTCCGGCCCGTTGTCAAAGGAAGAGCTAGAGAAGCTAGATAAAAGTTTGAAAGACGAGGGAGATGGTACAAGGTTAACAAGACAGAAAGCTCATCAAATAGCTTCTGGCACGCATCTGTTCAAATTGGGAATGGACAATAGTTTTAAATCATACGTAAATCAGTACAGCACCAACCCAATTGCTTTGAACAAAGCTCAGCGCAACGAAGAACGCGACAAAAAGAGGCATTTATCACATAAATTTTCGCTTACTCAAGCCTCTGAATTTAAATGGGTAGGAAGTTTGACAGGCACTCGGGCGCTTTTAGTAAGCACGCTTCGTCAAACAATTTTACAGTTAGAGAGCAACATTCAATCGTCGTTTATGCATACAAATTGGCCTCTTTTACGTAAACCTTGGACTACGGCGGTAGGAGCTTGCGTCAATCCCAGAGATTTCGCACGTGCTCTTATCGTGCTTCAAGCATGCATCAAATCGGTAGTGTTTGCTAGCGTGTGGCATGAGCAACTAGGACATGTGAAGTTGCAGAGAGTAACGGCTCTTGAACGAGAAGAAAAGAAACGACAAGATAAAAAGGATAAAAAGGAGAGAGAAGACGAAGAAGAACGCAATCGTCTGTTCAACTTCGTGAAATACACGTTAGGCTTGAAGCATCAGGTCTGGAAACAAAAAGGAGAAGAGTATCGCGTGCACGGTCAAGGTGGCTGGTTATGGATATCTGCCAGTCGCCGCTACAGATTTGCAGATATGTCGAAGTTGGGTCTTCGGAATGGCCCCCAGAAAATTATGGTACAAATCAAAGATCAGGAAGGATTAAAAATATTAGCTCTGGATCCTCCTACCTACGAATTCCTGATGAAAGAATATTGCCCTTCTAAGAAAGAGGAGAATCAGACAAACGTTAAAGTGAAAGAGGAAATTAAAGAGGAAGAATCATCGAAGGATACGTCGACCAACGTGCCCGTAAAGCAAGAATGTAAAGAAGAAAAAGATGTAAAAACAGAAGCAAATGAAGAAAATCAAAGCAACACGGGAACAGTTGCGAAAACGGAGGAGACGGCGACGAAGACAGAATCGGAATCGATTAAGCAAGAAACCAAAATGAATTTATCATGTGCGTGTAACATACAACAGTAACTTCTCTATTTATAGTGTGAATTATTAGTTACTTTCCCTTTCATTTTCAGTTTTAGCCGGTATGAAAATTGAGAAAGTGTACACACCCATCAAAGAATTCGAAGAAATCGATATTACCAAGGCACTAACTACTAATGGAAGGCTTCATTACCCAAAAATTGCCAAGAAAACTCGGATCGATGATTTCCTGGCGCGTAGGACACATTTGAAACTTTTGGAAGAAAGAAGATTACTACAATCTGTAAGTAAACATATAAAATTAAATCCAGTGATGAAATATTAATCATAATGACGTGTTTTTTTTTATGCCAATTGTAGGAAAAATCAAAAGAGTTATTGAGTCAATCTACAAATCAAAAAGTAGATGGTGATTCTGAAGTCGATGTTGAAAATAACGAGGAAAGCGATACTGATGGAGGTGATAATTCCTTACAAAATATTTTAGCTGGGAAACAACCTAAAGCAACTACCGAAATGTTGGCAGCGGTAGGAAAACGTATTCAGCAGGTTAAAACCCAGTACGGGAATATAATTAAACTTACTAAAAATACCAGCTGTTATTCGCGATATTGCAACATGACGGCACAGCCTGGAAAAATTACGATCACAACGCAAAGCTTAACTTCCACCTGTTATTCTCCCATATGTATGCAAAAAGCGAAATTGAAACTCGATCTTGTCGCGTTGTTGAGAAAAGCGAACACCCTGAATAATAATCAAACGACGTCGAATTCATCAACCAGTGTAAATGCGACACAAACACCGAAGACCTGTTCGAAAACAGATAGTGACGAAGCTAGAGATGCAATTAGAAAGGATTTAGAATCCGCCGTGAAATCCGCGACTCACTGCACGGAAGAAACACCAGCTACGAACGTAAATCTTTCTTCGCCCCCTAGCAAGAAGTTAAGAGTTGAATCCAACGCGGTAAGTACTTACACATTCACAAAATCATGCACGTGCTAAATTGTATTTTAGATAATCTAAAAAATATCGTTCCTTTCCAGAGTGCTGATGAGGCCAATTCGAGTAAAGCTGATGCAGTGACGACCATAACGCAGGAAACTACGAAAACGGTGACTGACGATGTGCAAAGTGTGCAAGAAAATGCGACTTCTCAAAATTCGTCCGAGACCAAGGCCAGGTAATATTTTCCTTTAAAGACATCTTGTTACTTGTAATACTATTATTAAAACGCGATTTCACTTCGATTTTAAAATACCATTTTACTTCCTTATTTTTAACAGCTTGGGTCAAAAGACAACCATGATTGTCAATCGAAGGGGAAGGACTGTACAAAGATGTGTGATGGCTAAGGAATTGAATGCCGATGGTTCGGAAAGAGTTTACTCTACTGTTTCGACCGATGGAAAAATATATTTAAAGAAAGTGGCAATTTCTTTGGCCGACAGAAAGAAAAAACGTACTCCGGTTAAATATCCGTTGTGTTCCACGTTTTGCACAAAAAATAAACATCGTAGTATATTGTTACTTCCGCAACACGAATTGCGTAAATTGGCACGAGTTGGCGGACGAACGCCAGTTCAAGGTTTTCATCACATTGCTAAGGCATGTGTCTTCTTTAACTTGCATTACTGAGAACAGAATGGACCGAATGAATAATAATTTTATCTGATTAATAATTGTAGGCAAATATGTCGGTATGGCCGTATCCTTGCCCGAGACCATTATTTAAAACATGCTGGTTATACAGAACAGTTGGTATAAAATCATTGGCTGCAGCGGCCCTTCAACTAAGAATATTATGGGCATGTCTTCGATGGGATGATATGGCTGCCAAGCCGTTGTCTACTGATGGCAAGCATCAGATTACGACCGACACAGAAATTATGTCGCTGGAAATACTAAGACACCGTCACGTTGGACAATTTCTAGATAAAACACAGTACTTGCGTAGGAAAGTCGTTATACCTTTGGAACTTCCAAAACAAGTCCGAGGTTTGTACAACAAATAAATTAACTGAAATAAGTAATCGGAGCATAATTATGGTAATTATGTTTTATGTTTAATAGAAGTGACATCCATAAGGAGTGGATTAAGAAAACGAAAACGGCCGGAATCCCCGCAAAGTACCGAGCCACAAGTTACAGAGGAATGGGTTGATGAAGACAAGTTGGAGTTATGGGAGATCAAACAGTATGGTGATAGGTACGTTCGGGAGAAAATAAAATATTTCATATATCAGAATATTTAAATTCGATAGTACGATTAGATTCCTTGTTTTTCTTTTACCTTACATCACTCAAACTCATACCTATCCCTATTTAACACCATTTGATACTAACTCCTCCACTTGGTGTGTGTCCTATCCAGGTTAGAGAAGGCTAATGCCCAGATTATTACTAGGAGCCGTTCGGGACAGCCACAGACCGCGGTCGGTGCTAATCGTAACTCGGGGTCGAATTCCGGACTTGGCGATCAACTCGTCAGCGGCAAAGCTACCCCTGAGGAGATTAAAGAAAAGATGGAGCAGCAGTTACGCATGCAAAGAGCTGCCCATCAACAGAAGAGAGCATTGGAAACTTTGAAAAGTCCAGCTGGTACCGGTTCGCCTACGCAAGTTGTCAAAGTTTCCGCGAACTCTGTTCATGGTAATAATCTCTATATTCAGAAACAAATTATAGTTAACTGCACGATACATTGTGTCAAATAAAAACGTTACAGATGGGACAATTAAATTAGTTTCTAAAGTTGCAATACCGGCAAATCCGAACAGTGGGTCAAAGTCTCAGCTGACTTCTCTCTTAACGACACCTGCGCAAAATAAGACATTCATTGGTACAAGACGTATTTATATGGCAAAATGTAAGTAAACGTAATAATAGTATATAAATATTGACCGAAAATAATTGTCAATTATGCACATGCACGTGTACGTAATGTTTATTTTTGAACTAGCATCGGATGGAACAACAAAAGTTACGGGCGCTACAAGCATTTTACCGAAAACTCAGTTGCAAACTGGGACTCAGCAGTCTCTGATTAAAGTTCCTGGTCAGGCAGGTAAGTTTATAATATCGTTGGAACTCCATAGTTGCAATGTCAAATGATGGTCTGCTTCTAATTGAATTTGCGTTTGCGAAATAGCGCCTGTACAACAGATTCAGCAAAAAGTACAGCTGATCAGAGGACCGGATGGAAAGTTGCAAGTTCGGGGTCTTATGCCTGGTCAGCAGTTAGTTCAAATGCCTGACGGGAAGCTTCATGTATTGAACACTGGACAAGCGATAACTACACTTGCACAAACAAGTGGAACAAGCACGACTACGCAGGTACTTATAAACCTTTAAATACTAGATTGCTAATTAAAAGTGATACAGACAAGTTAATACAAAAAATTGTATATTTAAGACAAAGACGACGACGACGACAACCGCAGCTAAAACGACCACAGCGGCTAATACCGCGGTTAAAGCGAGTCCGGTTAAGGTAATAACAAGTACTGTGCAACAGACGTCCCAGACTCAATCTCAACAAACAGTTCAGCGCCCGTCAACGACCACTGTAACTATTGCTACCACGCCGGCAAAGAATGCTCTTGTAGTAGCCAATACTGGGCAGATCGTTCAAGGTGCACAAGTATGTAAAAATCATCAATTTCATGTTCTAATCGAATTCGAATTATTAACTCAGTACGACAAAGATTCACATGTCATTAACCATATAGGTCATATCTTCCGGTGGACAAGTAATTAGTGGAAATCAAATAGTAGTTACGAATGCCAACTTAGCTCAACAACTTGCATCAGGCAAAGCTCAATTAACGACAATCGGTGGTCACCAAGTGGTGATTCGTAGCACCCCGACGGGCAATCAAATTGTACATCTAAATTCAACGAACAGTGGTGTCATCGTAAAAAATGCACCGACTAAACAACATGGTATGTTGAAACTGGATGTTCCCAAGAGTACTCGATTTTGATCGAATTTATAATCAATCAATCGTTTTAATATTTTAGTCTCCGTGATCCAATCTCCTCAAGCAACAACTACGACGACTGTAACAACAACTGATACGATTACCACGAGTGTTAGTAGTGTGTCGACGAATGTAACGTCCGCTACTACAACCACAATGGTGACAAATCAGACTTCCACTGCACCAGCACCTGGAAGCATGGAGGCGTCATTGTTAGCTGGCCAACCACCCGGAACTGTTATCAAATGTGTGACTGCTCAAGTTATACAGACTACGCAAGGTCCGCGTATAGTTTTACAAGGTTTACAGGGTGCAGATTTCACCCCGCAACAGCTTGCTATGGTACAGCAGCAGGTCAAACAACAATTGCTCAAAGGTTCGACACCATTTATACGTCGCAAACATATTTATCGTTATCAGTGTATTTACAACGTGCGTCTTTTATAGCACAAGCTGCGACAGGAAAGCAAGGAGTTTTAGGACCTACTAAAATTTATTTAGCTGTTCAACCAGCACCCAACAGCCAACAATCGGTTCAAAGTTCTACAACGGCAAACACTCCAGCTACGCCGGCAGCGAAGCCGCAAACTACACAGCAACCAGTTGTTTCGCCTGCAGCAGCAACCGGTTCGTTCTGTGCGATTTCATATTTCCTTCTATTCTTCACGTCCTTGTTCTTTATTACATTTTGTAACGTTGTAATAACTTTATTTCAACAGAGCCTCAATCAGGAACAGAAACCATTCCAGAGCTCCCGTCTACGACATCAAATTCTCCTGAGAAACCGAAAGTAGTTGTCCAACAAGTTGGACAACCAAATGTGGTATCGGAAGAGGAATCGCAAAAGACGAATGTGGCTAATGGTCAGCAGCCTTTACAATCCTTAAAAGAAGGAAGCGATTCCTCAGCTAACAAATTCATTCTAACGCCCGATTACATACAACAAAGTTAGTTTTCGAATAATTCATTTTACCTTCAATGTCTGCGTGGAATTGAAGACGTTATACTGCGTCTGTTTTTACCTCCTACATTCTCATAACTTAAAATATTTTAGCTATCAAGAATGCCTTGAAACAAGAGAACCTTAATCCGGAGATAGAAGAGAAACTACTACAGTTGCAACGGTATCAGGAGAAACAGATGAAAGGCGGTGTCGAGAACTCTGTGACTACTAACCAAACTCATACGACGCCCACAGTTATAACTCCACGTATCCCGTCTCGTAAAAGACCAGCACCCGCTAACATTCCAACGACGATTTCATCTACAAACGCCCAAATGACGATAAACGACAAAGACACGGAATGGGACAGTCCTAGAAAGAAACCTGCGTTAAAACAAGATGCTCGTGAAGCTCCAAAGTAAGTTCGATTCCTCTGGACATTTCTTACAGTTATTTCTAGCGCGCTCCTTTAATAATTTCACTTATTCCGTACAGAGTGCAAAAAGTTGAACTAGCAGAGAATGAGACTACACCACAGAAACGGGCAGCGAAGTTAAAAGACAGTCAGGAGCAGCGAAGAAAGCAACAGGTGCATTCGAGAATGCAAGTTTTATTGTTCAGACATAAAGAGCTATTGAAAAAAGATATTCTAAAAAAGCGAGCATTACTTGAAAAGGAATTACAGATAGACATTCAGGTATGTAATAAATAAGTTTTGTATAAGTACTTCGTATTATACATGTATGAATTAATTTCTATTTCGAATTACAGAAAGATTTATCGGCGGAACTGGCCTCGAGAACGAAGGCAGAAAGGCACAAGCAAGACGAAGTGAAGGTCGGTAGCGCGAAGCGTAAGGCAAACGCTCAAGTCGCTCAGCAAGTGAGTCCACCGAACAGAGGTGGAAGACCAAAGAAGTATAAAGCACAAGGAAATAATACCACACCGCCTGGTGCTTCAACTGCGGCAGCGGCGAATAGAATTAAGAAAGAGAAATTGTACTGTCTCTGCAGAACACCGTACGATGAAACGAAGTAAGTAATTGGCAGTTGGATCGTCTTTCTCGCGATATGATCGACACAATGTGATGTAACAAATAATTCTATCGAATTAGGTTTTATGTGGGATGCGATCTCTGTAACAATTGGTTCCACGGAGATTGTGTCGGGATTACCGAAGAAATGTGTAAAACTCTTTCAGAATTCGTTTGTACAGAATGCAGACACGCAAGAGACACGCAAGAGTTATATTGCCTATGTAAACAACCTTATGACGAATCTCAGTGCGTGATAATGAAAATTGTTTATTCGATTGATTCGACCATTGAATTGCATGTCAAACAAATAAAACTTTTCTTATTTTTACAGATTTTATATTTGCTGCGACAAATGTCAGGATTGGTTCCACGGTCGGTGTGTCGGTATCTTACAATCAGAAGCGGATAACATCGATGAATACGTCTGTCCAAATTGTCAACGAAATTCTTCTGTCAACTTTGCTAACATGAAAAATCTTAATGCGAAAGATCTGGATTTGTTAAAAAAACTAATTAAGCAAATACAAGTAAGTTGCAATTGATAACAGGAATTTCTATTGATAGATTTAATTATTAACATTAATAATTTGAATATTCAGGCACACAAGAGCGCTTGGCCGTTCATGGAACCTGTAGATCCGAACGAGGCACCCGACTATTATAAAGTTATAAAGGAACCTATGGGTAAGTTGAGAAATTTATATAGTAATATTGTACAAGTAGAAATACATCTGACTGACGAAAAATGAAATTCAATGTCATTTTCCTATTCACGTTCACAGACTTGCAGACTATAGAACTGAGGATAAATGACAAGTCTTACAAAAAGTTAAGTGAATTCATTGGCGACATGACGAAAATATTTGACAACTGTCGTTATTACAATCCGAAAGAATCGCCCTTCTTTAAGTGCGCAGAATCCTTAGAAACTTATTTTGTTCACAAGATTAAAAGTTTGAGAGAAAAGTTCTCTGAAGGAAAGTAAGCAAAAGAGAGAAGAGATATGAAAAAAGAAGAAATAAGAGAACTGTAACTGGAAACGAGTGACAGTGTGAAAAAGGTCAAACAATTTAACGTGAGCATCAACATTTTGTGTAACAGCAAAAATGACTTGTGCCAGTAGAAAAGAGACATTCGAAGTAGCCATAAATGTGTAAGAGTAGAACATATAAGTTCACTATTTATTAGATTTGTGACAACGTTTGATTGTGTCTTCGCAAGAGCAAACCTTATTTGAGTCGTGCTGTACAGTGAATTTTGAATCGGAACTTACACGTGGTAAGATTTTAAATCTTTAACAAGCACACACACAAAACAGTTAAAATAATATTCAACTAATGACAATCGTTATGAAAACGATTTTCCCGGCTAGCTACAAAGTCAACAAACATTAAAATTTGGTATAACAGTATACATTATATTAATCAATTCAATCTTTTAGTTGTATGCGACAATAAAATATTAATTTATCTAATATCACAGTGCTTTCATATCTCTTTACCAATNTTGTATTATAGTTGCATTAGTTTTGTTTTATTAGAAATTGAAAATAAAATATTCTTCTCGGTAGGAAATTGTCGTTAGTTGAGATTCAGAATTCATACGTTCCGCACGCATGTCATTATTTATGTACATCTATGAGATACGTGTAATTATAAATATATAATACTTATGAAAATATGAAATCAGTGCCACTGTGCGTTTAGAAAGAAGAGTTTTTAGTAACCTAACGCAGTGTATATTGCGAGGTCATAGAAAAGATATAGCTTGAAAAATTTGAGAGTTCACTGTCATTCATATAAAGAAGAGGAAAATGGTCCAATCATTGTCATTGTTCATCTGTCTAGAGGATGAAACTGTGTTTTCTCTCAAACATAGACGTAAGAATTATTTAGCAAGCGCATAATAAATTGTACAAATTTGTTTATTGTGCTCATAAGTAACTATTATTATATTGTTTTATCACATAAATTTTCTATAAAGAAAAAAAATTGTTTATAAGTAACATTTACGATGTTAGCCGGTAAGAATTGAGCAGACATGAATCTGCTTTGTACATATATCAGCAATTAGAGCGTCTATAAAAATAGACAATAGAATTTTTGGTTCTCATACGGCGAGAATATAAAACGTGGTCGAAAAGTCACTCTGAACGGAGAGTAATCAATTCAATAAAGAATATTGTTTATATTTTACCTAGTAAAATACCGTTTATGAAAATTACTAAGCTAGCACTATACATTGTATGTACATGTCCAAGTATATTCAGTTTCTATATATTCTCAATCAATCCAAGAGGGCAATATTATTTATCATCCGCATCTAACGAATAAATATATATATATTCATACATAAGCATACCCATACTCGTACGGAAGGAAGCAAGAAATTCTCGCTTCTGGTGTTTTATTAATGCAAAATACAAGCATGAAAGTATGTACCAAATTATCTGATGCTTGAATCGTCGGAGACCAACAAAATTTTTGTGTGAAATGTGAGATAACATTTGGAAATCGAAACTCTGCGAAAGTCGAAGAGATATGCGTTTCCATCGAAAAAGAAAACCATGTCATCTTCTCCGACATTAAGAATTCGTGGCTTTGTGTATGTTTCATAAGTTCAAGATGCGTCTCAATGATCGTCGATTAACTGAAAGAAAAAAAGCAGATCGCTCAAGAGCAGGTTGTACATTTTTGCCAGGACGAATGCTTGTACAGTATTTTTAATTCAAATGACCTGGCACTGATCTGTTTTTTTTTTATCCTCAATTTACTTTGTTTTATAATCACATAATACAATATATAATTCGTCACTTTGCCCAGATTTCTACACCGCATTAGCTTCACCAAACTCGTTCTGAGTGATCGTGCTACACGCGTGTCTCATTCAATGTACTAGCAATGTAAGCTTCATTTTATCTTTACTGTAACGTGTTCCGATAATGTCATGTGCTACAGGTATTATTGAAGCGTTCCGAACTTTTAATATCTCCTTGATCACATTGATTATCGTACCATTGTTTAAATTTCTTGTTCAAAATTGATCCAAACAGTTTTGAAAATTACTTATGTCTCGATGGATTTACGCTTCGAGATAATTGATGCCGGTGTACTTCTTCCAGTTTGTTTCAGGACTTCATTCGACTTGCAAATATTTGCGTACAAGTATTAATACAGTAAGCATTAATATACACAGCAGTTGCAATTGACACTCTTACTATTAGCTTCGTCGAACACCTGAAACAAAAGGAAGAAAATAAGTTTGTCTCAAAGTGTTAATTCTCGGATATTCTGTTCATTGTATAGTGCACATGGACTTATTAATAAATACTCTCGAAATTTTGAATACGTTTTTGGGATGAACTTAATTAGGAAGAGATAACGATCATTCTGTCGAATACTTCTTTCTTACATATAGAAGCGATATGCATATTATAATTGACGATATACAGGAGTAAAAGTTTTTCTGTAAAAATGAATTGTAGAAATACTTTAAGACAATTAAAATCATTAGCCGTGTAATTTCCGGCATGCTATTGAAGTGTAAAAACTGGGTGACGAATAATTGCTGCAGCGATGTATTTACGCAGGACATGTTTATGACTGCACTAAATCACTTTGCCCACTTATTAATCATGTATCGAAGTGTTTATTTCCATTAAGAGAAAAGGAAAAAAGCAACAAAGTGTGATTATATTAACTATATTCGTCTAAATCTAATATACTAGTTTATAATAAATATATTTGTACTAATTTTAATCATAAACTTTGTTGTTTTTATTGCACTATAAATATAAGTTAGAGGAAAGCGTAGTATGTTAATTTACCTTTTTTAATTTGTAATTGCTTAAAAAATAAAAAAAAACTGCTGTATGACAGTGGCTTCATGAAAACGTTAAGAATGTATATGTATACGTGTATTAATACCGTTTGGTTTTTCATTTAATTTGCGTCTAACAAAAATCAAACATTTCCTCTTTTATGCAGATCTATGTTATCGGAAATAGTTTTCGATCACTTCCATATCTGCTAATATTATTATTTTTCCTGAGATTTTAGACCAGCTATCCCCTTAATCATACAGTTCGATTGCTACGACGCACATATATTTATAGGACCTACGTTAATAGTTATTTACATTCTTCTGTCACGATTTGAAACAAAAGTAAGAATATGTCATTTATACATACGAGTGGACTGCACAACTTTTATTATTACTACCATCTTCTTAATCTGTCGAAGATATCTTTCACGTTAATATGAGTTAAAAGTGCACGTGTAAATTCGTACATATAGTAGAATTTCATAAATTCTCTATATTGGTAACTACAATAATTAACAGAAAAATTTCTTGAGCAATATGTTATGGAAAACTGTGTACCCTGTTTGGAGATGTCCCAGACTTCGACGTAAGTACAAAGTAACTATGTTAACGTAACTGAATGTTAACGTTAAGACGAATAAAATGCTGCTATTTAATTTTGATACATTATATCGAATCAATGATGCTTGTAGAACTTCATCATATGCCAAAGGCACCGTTACCTGGGGAACCAGCGAAACCGTACACGCTTTCTGAAGTTCCTGGACCAAGGTCAGACGCTCTACTCAATGAATTTTCTAAAATTCAGGTTTATATTGTCATTACGAAATACCTCATGGTTCGAAAATAGTATTTGTGACTGTACAATACTCTCGTGAAATATTTCAGCAAGTCGGCTCCATCGAATATTTTGCGGACTACCAGAGATCTGTTGGAAACTACATAGCAGACATCGATGGAAACGTCTTCTTGGATATGTTGATGCAATTTTCTTCCCTCCCCCTCGGTTACAATCATAGAGCAATCCTTGGTTCATTGGCATGTGCAGGGAACCAAGTAAGTACCAGCGTGTGTATAAATATTATTATTGTAAAAACACCGATTTAACAACGTTCTAGCGAATGATAGCAAACAGACCAGCATTGGCGATGTTCCCTAGTTTAGAGTGGCCATGCAAACTTCAAGACACCCTGCTTCAGCCATGTGTAAGACGTTTTATTGGAAATAAATACGAATCGGGAAATATTAAATAGTAACGAGCGAAGTGAATTCGTTACATGTGACATTATTCTTATCAGGTAGCTCCAAAAGGATTGCCATGTGTCTACACGAGTATGTGCTGCTCTTCCGCAACCGAGTTTGCGATACAAGCAGCATTCATAAAATATGCTGAGCGTCGTCGCCGTGGTAGTGCATACTCAGATGAAGAAAAGAAAACCGCACTCTATAATAATCCACCCGGCTGTCCCGACGTGTGCATCCTATCTTTTGATGGTACCTTAACACAGTAGTGTTATCTTGATATCCTCATTGCTTGTATCTGATGAGATATTTATAAATATAGGTGGATGTTATGGTAGAACCTTCGGTGCACTGGCATTATCGCACTGCAAATATTTGATGAAAGTTGACATTCCTAGTCTTCCGTGGCCGATTGCACCTTTTCCAGAGTATTTGTATCCATTGGATCAGCACGAAAAGGAGAATAAGGAAGAGGATGCCAGATGTATAGAGAAAGTAAATTTAGCATTCGGGTGTACCTAGTATTCGTAAAATGTATACCAAAGTATGTCGTTTAAAAGGTAGAAGATTTAATAGAACAAAGCGAGAAGGGTGAGAACCCGATGCCCGTCGCTGGTATTATAGTCGAAGCGATACAATGCGAAGGAGGCGATCGACATGCTTCTCCAGATTTCTTTCAAAGTCTGCAGGATATTGCCAAAAGAGTAACTAAGACGTTTGAATCTTTATACATGAGCAGCGTATTACGTAAAATGCGTGATACGAATTATAAATTTTGCAGAAACGTATTCCGTTGATATTGGATGAAATGGAAACAGGTGGTGGTGCAACGGGAAGGATATGGGCGCACGAATATTTTGAATTAAACATTCCGCCTGACATGGTCACCTTTAGTCACAAAATGCAAGCCAGTGGATTTTATCATTCTCCCGAATACATGTAATTATCTTAAATATACATGAATGATTAAACAGAATTTATTTCATCGAAATTTAACAACGGATGTTGGGATTTTCGTAGGATCAAACATCCATACAGAACTTTTGACAGATTTCACGGTGACCCGGCTAAGATAGTAATGTTAGAAGCGGTGTTACAAACTATCGAAGCAGAGGACTTATTAACTCACGTTTCTACCGTCGGCAATTACCTGCTTTGTCAATTGAACACTTTGCAAAACGAATTTCCGGAGCTTATGAATTCCGTACGAGGCAGAGGGTTTATCATCGCGTTCGATATGCCCACTAAAGACCTTAGAAATAAACTGCTGCGCCTAATGCGTTCTAAAGGTAACTTCGAAATTTGTTAATGTCTCATATTTTCATAATTATTTGTTACAAATAAACTACTAGGTATTCAAGTTGGCGATTGTGGCGAAAAATCAATTCGTCTAAGGCCTTGCCTAATATTCGGGGAGTATCATGCAGATATCTTTTTGGAAATTTTACGTTCTTGTCTACAAGAGATTTTAGAAAGCTGATATATTTGTAAATTATACTTTACCCTCTTGTTGTATAACATATTTTTTAAATATATACTTCAATAAAAATACATACTCGTTACTTTCTCATAGATAACTGTTTTAATCCCATGAATCGATGATTTTTTACTCAAAACGAAAGTAATAAAGTTTCTTCGTAGGAAACACCCACATTGTACCTATAAACTAATATAAATCTGTTCCGACGAACGCACTGAACAACACGAAATAGAATTATTGACTTAACATTGGATAAGATAAGGATTAAAATTCAAACGTCGCGGTTTTGTAAGCCGCAAGTCGCAATACCGATCAAAGGAGCAGGAATAATCGTTCATGAGCAAGGGTAATCGATATCAGTTATGGCGGTAAAGAAGGAGCGGCTCCATTTAGCGTGATTGCAAATCAAGAGTTATTATGGCTCACATTTTCTATTACATAACGGGAAAGTGCATTTCCATCGAAGTGCATTTTTCGCGACGTTCAGTGTCATCGTGAGCTACGGTAAAGACAGAACGGGAAAAAGAGCACGATCTACCGTTTGCGAGTGAGGGAAGGAAGTTCAAGCCCGAAACGATTTTACGTCGTACTGCTCGTATACTGTTGACAATTGGAACCCGAAGTTTCAAGTCTCGACGCGACACGGCGTAAACAATCACCATGGCAAAGTACGAGGACATTGCGTAACCTGGTAGCCTTATCTAATTATAGCAGCATAGAAAGTGCATCTTTAATTCAATGATAATGCTTTGTTTACTGTACCACGCTGCACATTGCCTCTCGCACTCGATTCACCGGCTATCTATTTTCGGCAAGCGACATGTCTTTGTTTAAATCTTTAATTTTCATCAAAGAGAATTCCAATTTTAAGTTGGTGTGAGTTTTGTACGAGCAATTTCCTTTATCCTGTATTTGTCACATCTTTCTCTGTTGTATTTAACTTATTGTTAGAAATTTACATATATCTTTCGATACATTTATCCTATAAATAATATACCTTCTTTTATTTTGCATTTGTCACTTAGCTCCTTAGAAATTGTTAATTTATGACACCGTATAGAAGTATGTATGCGTGGAGTGTTTTTGTAATTAACTGATTTATGTTTATATATTTCATTTTCGAACTTTTGCCATAGTTAACAATTTATATGAATGCAGCGATTGGCTTCAAATTCCTTTACACATAAATAATGTATATGACTAATATATTTATGAATAAATTATTTTCATTGATCACAAATTTTTTGTTATAGTAGAATTTTCCTTCTTCATACTTTATTATTTTACTTTGTCTGGAATCATTCAAGTAAGAAAATGTTCGATTAACCAGTGAAGAACGCTTCCATTGCTTGCTGATTAATTCAATGATTACCTGCGATCATTAGCATTGAACAAACTGGAAAAACCTGCTGATATATTTTTACTACATTACCAGATCGTAATGAAACACATGATCGGTGTATCAGAAATATTATCATTGTACTCACAGAACAATACTTTGGAAAGATATGTCCTAAACTGTAATCTTATCTTTTTTATTTCGTTATCGTTTGCGGTGCAGCTAATCGGTAATACACTGTTCATAATTATTTACTTCATAGACCAATTCATGTATCAGAAGCAAATCGTAGACGTTCATATTATGTCTGCGATTTTGTAAAAATGAAAGTTGATAGGTTTTCACAGTTTTATATAGAACAGTTTTATCATATATCCAAGGGTAAGCTACTTTAAAAAACAAATTAACAGTTGTTTCAGTTCTAGTTCAAGTCCACTTACGAATTGTTACATAAATACTGCTATTTATCTATTGTAAGAATTGATGCAGCGTATATGCATATGATGGGAATAGTTATATGAACTGTGAATTTATTTTATAGAGAGATGATGATAGTATTTGTTTATGACACTGCAAGGTGTTGTAAAGAAGACGATGATCCTGCAGAGGCAGTTATGTATTTCCATCCTGCGTGGGTGTCCCTTACCCAAAGGCTAGCTTTAGCGGGTCAACTAATGGCTGTTAATCAGTTCCTCTCTACTTCGTTTTCCCCTCCAAAATCAATTACATTACAAGGAGGAAAATTAAAGCTGATATATTTGTAAATTATACTTTACCCTCTTGTTGTATAACATATTTTTTAAATATATACTTCAATAAAAATACATACTCGTTACTTTCTCATAGATAACTGTTTTAATCCCATGAATCGATGATTTTTTACTCAAAACGAAAGTAATAAAGTTTCTTCGTAGGAAACACCCACATTGTACCTATAAACTAATATAAATCTGTTCCGACGAACGCACTGAACAACACGAAATAGAATTATTGACTTAACATTGGATAAGATAAGGATTAAAATTCAAACGTCGCGGTTTTGTAAGCCGCAAGTCGCAATACCGATCAAAGGAGCAGGAATAATCGTTCATGAGCAAGGGTAATCGATATCAGTTATGGCGGTAAAGAAGGAGCGGCTCCATTTAGCGTGATTGCAAATCAAGAGTTATTATGGCTCACATTTTCTATTACATAACGGGAAAGTGCATTTCCATCGAAGTGCATTTTTCGCGACGTTCAGTGTCATCGTGAGCTACGGTAAAGACAGAACGGGAAAAAGAGCACGATCTACCGTTTGCGAGTGAGGGAAGGAAGTTCAAGCCCGAAACGATTTTACGTCGTACTGCTCGTATACTGTTGACAATTGGAACCCGAAGTTTCAAGTCTCGACGCGACACGGCGTAAACAATCACCATGGCAAAGTACGAGGACATTGCGTAACCTGGTAGCCTTATCTAATTATAGCAGCATAGAAAGTGCATCTTTAATTCAATGATAATGCTTTGTTTACTGTACCACGCTGCACATTGCCTCTCGCACTCGATTCACCGGCTATCTATTTTCGGCAAGCGACATGTCTTTGTTTAAATCTTTAATTTTCATCAAAGAGAATTCCAATTTTAAGTTGGTGTGAGTTTTGTACGAGCAATTTCCTTTATCCTGTATTTGTCACATCTTTCTCTGTTGTATTTAACTTATTGTTAGAAATTTACATATATCTTTCGATACATTTATCCTATAAATAATATACCTTCTTTTATTTTGCATTTGTCACTTAGCTCCTTAGAAATTGTTAATTTATGACACCGTATAGAAGTATGTATGCGTGGAGTGTTTTTGTAATTAACTGATTTATGTTTATATATTTCATTTTCGAACTTTTGCCATAGTTAACAATTTATATGAATACAGCGATTGGCTTCAAATTCCTTTACACATAAATAATGTATATGACTAATATATTTATGAATAAATTATTTTCATTGATCACAAATTTTTTGTTATAGTAGAATTTTCCTTCTTCATACTTTATTATTTTACTTTGTCTGGAATCATTCAAGTAAGAAAATGTTCGATTAACCAGTGAAGAACGCTTCCATTGCTTGCTGATTAATTCAATGATTACCTGCGATCATTAGCATTGAACAAACTGGAAAAACCTGCTGATATATTTTTACTACATTACCAGATCGTAATGAAACACATGATCGGTGTATCAGAAATATTATCATTGTACTCACAGAACAATACTTTGGAAAGATATGTCCTAAACTGTAATCTTATCTTTTTTATTTCGTTATCGTTTGCGGTGCAGCTAATCGGTAATACACTGTTCATAATTATTTACTTCATAGACCAATTCATGTATCAGAAGCAAATCGTAGACGTTCATATTATGTCTGCGATTTTGTAAAAATGAAAGTTGATAGGTTTTCACAGTTTTATATAGAACAGTTTTATCATATATCCAAGGGTAAGCTACTTTAAAAAACAAATTAACAGTTGTTTCAGTTCTAGTTCAAGTCCACTTACGAATTGTTACATAAATACTGCTATTTATCTATTGTAAGAATTGATGCAGCGTATATGCATATGATGGGAATAGTTATATGAACTGTGAATTTATTTTATAGAGAGATGATGATAGTATTTGTTTATGACACTGCAAGGTGTTGTAAAGAAGACGATGATCCTGCAGAGGCAGTTATGTATTTCCATCCTGCGTGGGTGTCCCTTACCCAAAGGCTAGCTTTAGCGGGTCAACTAATGGCTGTTAATCAGTTCCTCTCTACTTCGTTTTCCCCTCCAAAATCAATTACATTACAAGGAGGAAAATTTGTATTGAAGAAATTTGGACAGTATATACTTGTAAGTATTCATATATATTCTTCTTCCTTTGATTGTACTAATTAAATAGCTATTTTTACCTCAGTGAATGTAATATTTATTTCACTGTTAGATATACGAGTATTTAAGAGTTGTTTATTACTTTCTAGGCAGTGGGGACTGATAGGAATATTCATGACTGGATTTTAGAAAGGCGCGCGAACACCTTAGAATCGTTATTAAAATTTTTTCACTGCGACTTGAATAAGATACTGGAATCGTTTAACAACGATAGAAACAAATTTACTGAAAAACTTTATCAAATGTTCGAAACGTACTTGCCAATACTTCAATACAGTGCCAATCTTTTCTCTAATATTCCAATTATTAAACTTCCAAAGGTAATTAATGTATGATATTATCTATATTATTATTTCAAATAATTCACTCTAATACATTGAACTCTCATGTACTATTTGTAGAGTGCTAGCAACATATTTTTAGAAGCTATTCAAGTTTTACAATATTTTCAAGAAACTCATGGTATTATAGGTGGTGCACTCTTTTATAATAACAAGTAAGTCACCTGAAACTGTATTCCCAAGCCTATTTCTCCCTAGGTGCATTTTAAAAACGAGTATTAACATTTCAGGGTAGTTGCTACTCAATTAAGTGCTGAAGTAACTAAACAAATAGTTATAACTGATCCATATAGAATAAAGGTACGTGTATCGCACCTATATTTATAAGTAATAAAATTATATTACAGGATTATTTTCTATATAATTTTGTAGGCTCCCGCGGATAGGATACCAACGGAATTTCATCTGCCTGTCGGAGTACAGTTATTCCGAGTGTACATAGAACAGAAACAGTTCACGAAACTTACACAAGAAGCAAATAACGAACGATACTACAGCTCTTATTTCGATTCTGTCTCTAAAAAGACATTGCAGAGGAAGGTGAGCAGAATAAAACCGAATATATAGTAACATCTACAATGATATGATGGAACAATTATTTTCTCAGAGCATGTCCAAGAATAGTAAGGAACCTCCATTGTCCGGAATGAAACGCGACACTTCTCGTATCTTCACTGTACCTGAAGAAGGAGAATTAGATTCGTTGCAATACAACGATAACAGCCACTACGTACCTTCCGTTCCACTTACAGCTTACAGTTCGCCGGTAAAACGTAAACAGGAAAGTAAAACAGACCGTCCGAAGTGCGCGAACCCTTTGACTCCTAGCGTTTGTTCGACGCCCTTAAAGGACATTAATAGGGTGCTGCACGGCAATGTTATGTTGATATGTAATACAAACGAGGAAGCAAGTAACGAAACTGGCGATGAAAAGAAAGAGGTAAAAACGAATGTGGACGATATTCCGGATGTGGTCAAGGAGGCTCTCAGATGTAAACGTTTAAATAAATTAAGGAACGTTACACCGAAAGAGAAACTAGTTAAGCGGAGAGAATTTAATAAAAAAAGTTTAAGCGTGCACGATTTAGATTCGTCCAATTTATGCTCCAGCCGGATATCAGTAAGAATGTATGGATTAGGTTTACCACAGTTAAAGAATAGTATATCGCCCGAGGCTTCGCCTCAAAAGAAATACTCACAGAAAAGACAGTTCCATACGATTACCGATCCGTGTTATCCCGTGTTTCGATACGACGGATTACCGGTATCCCAATCTTTGTACGAGCAATACATATCTACCCATTTCGAAGAGCTTAAAGACGGCGGAAATGACATAGTCAATCCTAACGAATTTCTAATGAGTTTGACTAACGATCGCAAAGCGACAAACGTAACGAACAACTGTGATACTGTGACTAGAGATAATTTTGAAAAACCGAGCATCTCTTGCGCGGTAAAATTAGATAAATTCAAGCAAGAAACTTATCGTAGATCGATGAGTCTTCCATTGAAACCGTTAAATGTCACTGATAACGACGATAGACGAAAATCGGCATCCGAATGTGGTAACGTCTACGATTTCTTACAAAAGAAGAAACTGGACGGTCTGCAATTGACACCGCTCATGTCCAAGCTCAGTTTACTCGCCGATGAACGAACTAGTGGTTTTTGCAGCAGGGAAACCACCCCTAGCGAGTTTCGCGACTTATCCGGCTTCTCGACGGCAACGAATCAAATGATTAAGCAGAAATTGGAAGCGGTTAATAAAGAAACCGGTAGCGACGGCGAGGACGAACTCGAAGAAGACTGGGTGACTACTTCCAAGGACGAAGTTTGTCTTGAGAAAACAGAATTATTTCTTTGCGGACATCAAAACATGGTGCTAGTACTGTTAATGGAAAACGGAACTGCCAATAATCCCGATCTTATACACACTCTCGTAAGTGCATTATTGATTCTTGATGTTTGCTACGGTGCGAATAACTAATTTTCTAATTGTACGTGAACTGCCGTAGTGGAAAACTTGTGTGAGCACATTAGGTAAACTTGAAACAAGGCTGCAGCAGTGCTTGGAACCTTTACCGTCGAACGAGAACAAAGAATTGTATAGTATTTTAAGCGTCGATCCTCAATGGGATACGATAAATCGTTCCGGACTCTGGGGCGTTACTGAATTGGACATTGTTTCTAGTCTACACGATAGATTCACACATGCCAGCAATCTCACAGATATCATCGTCAGGTAATCAGGATTAGACATTAGACATTTCATTTGAATTAGTATAACTTTGCATAATTCAGCTTGCTTCGGTAGTGTCTATATTTTATATATTTTCCCTTTAAAAAAAAGATTTTGTAGCATACATTTGATTTTAGAATAATTTCTTTCATGTTGTATTAATGAAACGTCATGACTTGCATTCTTGTTCGAGTATGGTAAAAAAAAATGAGTATGTTTTATTAATTAACTAGAACGGAGGATACCGTTGTTTACGGTAATCAGTGCGGGAACGTAGAGGTATTTTATCAACAAGCAGTGGCTCCGAACACGTCCGGAGGACTTCCGACTCCTGCAGATTTAATGGGAATCGTATCTCTTAAAGCGAAACGTAGACTGGAAAGGGATCACGGAATCGTATTACTATAAATCGTACTTGTCCACGAAAATTTCCGTCACGTTCAAGATCGAATCGTTTTTACTTAATACTTTGTTCGTTTTCTATGGCATGCCAAATTAACGATAATATACAGCGTTTTGTACATATTCATTTCTTTGCATTCATAGTGATAGAAACAGTTCTCTGATTTTCTTTTAATAATATCGCGTAGGAGCATTCTCGTTACCTTGTCACGCAATATAATACAAGGGCATTAAATTGAGAATGAAATTCTTCGTTCAGTAGTTAGCATGTAATCGTAGTTAAACTTTTATCGCTCTAGCGATGATATCCGAATAATCATGTATAAATATTACATATACAGGTGTATACAGTTAGTATTATATTTATTTAGAACGTCCACATCTCTTGCGTGAGAAACGATAAGTTCAAATTTTCATATCCTTCCGGAATAAAAGAATCAAACATAGTTTGTATAATAAATATCAATATTGGTACGTGAGCATAGAATTTAAAATTACCTCGAAACGAAGGTAAACCAATTTTTATTGTGTGGCTCGAAATTCTTTAAAACCGCAATAAAATTTTAATGGCATGATACGACAGTTCCGAGTCCAAGCTTTTGTCGTATTATAATTATTAAATACAAATGATTCTAGTATTATGTACCTACGTCCGATTAATAAGTGATACATAATGTTAAATAATTTATTTGTCTATTTAAATATCGTGTTATCGTGGGTAAAGATTTTTATTATATTGGGTATAACATATAAGTCGTAATGGTTATTGTTTTACTTCTTAACGATCCAATGTTGTATAAATGAATTTATATTGTGTGTATTATAAACATAATTCTTTGTATATAAATATATGTAAGAAGCGTCTAATAATTTATTTACACGATTTATAAATAGTAATATAATTTTCGAATTCATTAGCATTAAGTAGTAGATTAGGATAAGAATATTATTAAAAGGAAAGGTATAACATCAATATGTTAACACAGAAATATATGATATACAACATGAATGTAATTCGTGGAGCATGATACGAGTTGTAAGGACTCAATAATAATAGTAATCAGTGATTAGCATTTATTTCTATATGAACTTTTAGATGATGATTTCAAATTTGAAAAATCTATCTGGGGAATAAACTCTTTTCTTAAGTTCCCACCCAACAACAGGAGCAGACTCTGTAGACAAAACTTTCAAATAAAATACGATCTTCTCAAAATGTAAAAATGCCAAACTTTCATTGAACAATTCGCAGTAAATGATGTGTACGTTTCATGTCGTGATGAGAGGACAATAAAAGAGCCTGTGAAACCTATCGCACGCACTCGATTCCACGATGTTATTCCCACGAGTAGAAAATTATATTCAAATTTATGGCTGGATATTTACCACGTGTGCTGAAATCGTTCCGTAGTTTCATATTTGTTTTGTCGACCTCGGCGACGAGCAGACGAAAATGAATCGAGGCGAGCCTCCTCCCGGTTCTACAGGTTTGCTACATGCTTGCTTATATCACGCGGTGTACACGTTTCCGTTTACTCGTTTATCTAGTTTGCATTTAGCAGGACGCGCCCCTAAACCAGAATCTAAATCATTGACGCATGAATCCAATCTTGTTTCGTCATAGGCACGATACGACGAGCCTCCACGAATGGAAAGTTTCACAAAAACGGGATACTTTGAACTTTTGGTTCTTAAAAACTACTCTTTCTCCAAAAAGAAATAGTATTTTATAAACTGCTGATAAATGATACTACGCTTTTATATTAACAGGACATTCGATTGTTTCTGTTTAACAAATATGCTAATGTTCTTATTTTTTAGTATTGGAAAAACAAGATCAACGTGGTAAGCAAGTAGTTATACATTAGAAGTTTATTTAATGAGTTATCTCCTGTTTATCCGTTTGTTAGTGGAAATACAAAATGTTTACAATACGGGAAACAGCCTTCCCATACCAAGGTACTGACACATTTCTATCACTAAATTATCAAATGCTAGTTAAATGTTATATACTAATGTTAAAACTTGGAATGCCATCCGTAAGTTTCAAGATTTCATTTAGTACGTAGATGGATTAATGAAGTTTATTTGAAGAAGTGACGGTTATAGAGAAACGAGCTACGAAAATATCATGTGATCATCGCGAGGTCGAAAAACCAGCTTGCCGCTAATATGTGACATTATACGGTTGATTTAATAAATATCAATATTGGTACGTGAGCATAGAATTTAAAATTACCTCGAAACGAAGGTAAACCAATTTTTATTGTGTGGCTCGAAATTCTTTAAAACCGCAATAAAATTTTAATGGCATGATACGACAGTTCCGAGTCCAAGCTTTTGTCGTATTATAATTATTAAATACAAATGATTCTAGTATTATGTACCTACGTCCGATTAATAAGTGATACATAATGTTAAATAATTTATTTGTCTATTTAAATATCGTGTTATCGTGGGTAAAGATTTTTATTATATTGGGTATAACATATAAGTCGTAATGGTTATTGTTTTACTTCTTAACGATCCAATGTTGTATAAATGAATTTATATTGTGTGTATTATAAACATAATTCTTTGTATATAAATATATGTAAGAAGCGTCTAATAATTTATTTACACGATTTATAAATAGTAATATAATTTTCGAATTCATTAGCATTAAGTAGTAGATTAGGATAAGAATATTATTAAAAGGAAAGGTATAACATCAATATGTTAACACAGAAATATATGATATACAACATGAATGTAATTCGTGGAGCATGATACGAGTTGTAAGGACTCAATAATAATAGTAATCAGTGATTAGCATTTATTTCTATATGAACTTTTAGATGATGATTTCAAATTTGAAAAATCTATCTGGGGAATAAACTCTTTTCTTAAGTTCCCACCCAACAACAGGAGCAGACTCTGTAGACAAAACTTTCAAATAAAATACGATCTTCTCAAAATGTAAAAATGCCAAACTTTCATTGAACAATTCGCAGTAAATGATGTGTACGTTTCATGTCGTGATGAGAGGACAATAAAAGAGCCTGTGAAACCTATCGCACGCACTCGATTCCACGATGTTATTCCCACGAGTAGAAAATTATATTCAAATTTATGGCTGGATATTTACCACGTGTGCTGAAATCGTTCCGTAGTTTCATATTTGTTTTGTCGACCTCGGCGACGAGCAGACGAAAATGAATCGAGGCGAGCCTCCTCCCGGTTCTACAGGTTTGCTACATGCTTGCTTATATCACGCGGTGTACACGTTTCCGTTTACTCGTTTATCTAGTTTGCATTTAGCAGGACGCGCCCCTAAACCAGAATCTAAATCATTGACGCATGAATCCAATCTTGTTTCGTCATAGGCACGATACGACGAGCCTCCACGAATGGAAAGTTTCACAAAAACGGGATACTTTGAACTTTTGGTTCTTAAAAACTACTCTTTCTCCAAAAAGAAATAGTATTTTATAAACTGCTGATAAATGATACTACGCTTTTATATTAACAGGACATTCGATTGTTTCTGTTTAACAAATATGCTAATGTTCTTATTTTTTAGTATTGGAAAAACAAGATCAACGTGGTAAGCAAGTAGTTATACATTAGAAGTTTATTTAATGAGTTATCTCCTGTTTATCCGTTTGTTAGTGGAAATACAAAATGTTTACAATACGGGAAACAGCCTTCCCATACCAAGGTACTGACACATTTCTATCACTAAATTATCAAATGCTAGTTAAATGTTATATACTAATGTTAAAACTTGGAATGCCATCCGTAAGTTTCAAGATTTCATTTAGTACGTAGATGGATTAATGAAGTTTATTTGAAGAAGTGACGGTTATAGAGAAACGAGCTACGAAAATATCATGTGATCATCGCGAGGTCGAAAAACCAGCTTGCCGCTAATATGTGACATTATACGGTTGATTTACCTATCATGATTTGTTTCGAAGAATGCGGTACAAACAAGCCTCCACGATCGACCAATCAACGATCAGAATATCGATCGTCGATTTTGACGCGGTTGTATTTAAGCAACTCGCGCTTGTATTTAATAGTTAAAAAGAAATCGCTAAACTATCTCAATCTAGCTATTCGCAAGTATTCAGAATGGTATGAGACACAATCCTTTGTTATAAGTAATACCATTTTTTTTACTAACAATATTTTCTATATATTTGCGTTGAATATACTTATTCCATAAATTATAGTTTCTACTTCTTTAATTTTGTAATTATATTAGTATTATGTAAGTATTATATGCTTGTTTCAAATTACATATTTAATTGTTAATATTTCCTTATGAATATTGCTAAACCGAATATGATTGTATATATGGGATTGCGAATAAAATGAAAATTGATCAACGATTTATCAAATTTAATAGACGACATTAATTAGAAAACTATTTTTTCCAGACTACATATACAGATAAAGGCCTGAAGGTAAACAGTTACTTAAAAGATCTTAATCGAAAACATAATCTATTATTAATACATACTACTTTCCATTTCTTAGCCCTTAGGTGGAAAGTTCCTATCCTTTGATTATATTAAATTCTGGGTTGGAAATGCGAAGCAGGTAATTAGAAATAAAAATTATTGGAATAGTTATTACAAAAGTTACGATGCTTAAAAATTTTGTTCACCGCAAAAGATGTTAAATTCTTCATTTGTTATTTAGGCAGCCAGTTATTATTCTACTAGACTGGGTTTTGAACCTGTAGCATATCGTGGTTTGGAAACTAATTCCAGACACGTTGCATCGCATGTTGTTAAACAAAATCAGGTAAAAGCTACATAAATGTTTACTTTTCTTTGAAGAAAAATTTAATATAGCTCGCCTTACGTAGTCTCCAGTATAGTTTAAAACAAATTGAAGAATGTATTGTTAATTTTATAGATTACTTTTATATTCGAATCAGCGTATGAACCCAGCAATGAAGAAATGGCGAAATTTCTCGCCCGACACGGAGACGGTGTTCGTGATATTGCCTTCAATGTTGAAGATATAGGAACCATTGTAAAGGTACGTTTTTTTATCATAGAATTTATATGAATACGTAGGTAAAACGATCATAATTTTAGATCGCAAAAGAAAGAGGAGCGGTGATAGTGAAAGATATATGGGAAGAGAAAGATGAACATGGAATTGTAAAATTTGCTACGATACAGACTGTAAGTACAGATATCATAAGTGTTACATTTCATTAATCAACTAAATAATTGAACGTTCATTTATTAGTATGGAGATACGTATCACACGCTCATAGACAGATCCAAATATAAAGGATTCTTTCTACCAGGATATGAAAAGCTGCCGGAAGACTCGTTTGCCAAGACCTTGTACGTAACTTAAATCCACTTGAGAACATTGTAGGATAATTTATTTAATAACTCCATGATTATTTTGTTGACTAGACCGAAAGTAGGACTAAATTTTGTGGATCATATCGTTGGTAATCAGCCTGACAAACAAATGGAACCTGTTGCACAATGGTATGCGGATTAATATTAGACGTTGAAACGATTTACATTATCAATTGCCACGAAATTTGTTTAATTCTAGGTACGAGCGTGTTTTACAGTTTCATCGGTTTTGGTCAGTAGACGATACTCAATTGTATACAGAATATTCAGCACTGCGCTCCATCGTTATGACGAATTGGGAAGAAACAGTGAAAATGCCGATTAATGAGCCAGCACCTGGTAAAAAACGTTCTCAGATTCAGGAATATGTCGAGTATTATGGTGGGGCAGGAGTGCAACACATCGCTCTCAATACAAACGACATAGTGCAAGCTGTAAATTACACATTTAAAAATACGTATCCCTACAAAGAGCATTTGGCTTTAATACTACGAATTTCATTGCAGATACAAAAACTGCGTGCTAGGGGCATGGAATTCTTGGACGTACCAGACACTTATTACGATATGTTACGAAAACGTTTGAGTAACAACGGCGTAAAAATTGTAGAGGATCTTAATATGCTACAGGTAGAAGTGTTAAAAAATCATATACATACATGTAGTTGAATAAAAAGCTGAGTATAGGTATTTGAATTTACAGAAATTAAGGATTTTGATAGATTACGACGAGGATGGATACCTTTTACAAATATTTACGAAGAACATGCAAGACCGACCGACTCTTTTCATAGAAATCATCCAACGACGCAATCACAATGTAAGTATCGCAGTGACAACTAATATTATCTGATGAGGTTTAATTTATTAGGGGCATTTTGTACTTGAGAATTAAAATTACACATGTTTTATGTTTGTCACAGGGATTTGGAGCTGGAAATTTCCAAGCACTGTTTGAAGCTATTGAAATGGAGCAAGCTAAGCGTGGAAATTTATAAAGATGTACAGACA